CCTTCATACCCACCCATAAACCATTTTCGATTGAACCAATTTTGACGTCGGTAACTGAAGTTCAGAGAACATTTAAATTGAATTATTACTTTCGCGAAAAACTTGGCCGCGGTAAACGAATCAAATTTACGGAGAGATCTGGCTGGAATCCACCAGATAATGCGATTGACCAAGATATTTTAACTATTTGCGACAATTTATATGAAGAAATTTCTCATTTGCCTTTGGTGAATGAGAAAAACAATCTTACCAATTTTGAACGAAAATCTCTCAATAATCTAAAAAATGACAAAAACATTATCATCAGGAAAAGTGACAAAGGCAGTTGCTGCGTCATTCAAAATCGCGATGACTACATTTTTGAAATTGATAAACAGTTGAACAATCCAAATCACTATCGCCAACTTGATACACCTATTTTTATGGAAACTGCGCGAGAAATAAACAATATTCTACAAAATTTGGTAAAAAAGAAATTTATTTCAGAAAAGCAATATGACTACCTTTCCGCGTCCACTGAGCCTCGCCAACGACACATTTACACGCTTCCAAAATTATATATTTATGGCCGAGTGGGAGAGGGAGATAGAAAATATCTCACCGTTTAAACCTTTATTTTATGGCCGGTTTCTTGACGATATTTTTATCATTTGGTCCGATACTCTAGAACATTTCTGGAAATATTTCGAAATTTTTAACAACCACCACCCTTCTGTGAAATTGACAGCAAATATCAGCGAAAACAGTATGGATTTTGTGGACACCACGGTGTTCAAAGGCAACAACTTTCTTTCTTCTAAAAAATTAGACATTAAAGTATTTTTTAAGGAAACTGATACCCACCAACTTTTATACAAAAGCTCGTTCCACCCGAAGCACACATTTTCTGGAATAATTAAATCTCAAATTCTAAGATTTCATAGAATTTGCACCCAGCAGGCTGATTTTGAATTCGCCTGTAAACTAGTTTTTGACAAATTAAGGGAGAGGGGTTATTCCAAAAGGTTTCTTCGAAAAATTAAGAATGACACGCTTTCAGACATTTTGAGAAAAGAAGACCCCCCTCCACCTTTTATTGGATTCGGTTCATTTCCCTGTGGAGGTCCTACTTGTCGCACATGCGAACACATACATGTTACCCATTTTTTCAAACATAACAAGAACGGAAAATTGTTTGCGATGGATAACCTAATTTCTTGCGGAGATCAAAATATCATATACCTAATTTCTTGTAAAAAATGCGATGTACAATATGTTGGCGAGACTCAAAATGCGCTTCGAACGCGATTCAATGGCCATCGCTATGATATAGTGCATGGCAAGGATAGACCAATTGCGAATCACTTCAACCTTCCCGATCATTCCATTGATGACCTTCTCATCATGCCTATAGAAACAGTTTTTACATCACCTAGCATCAAACCTAAGCTTAGACGTCTACAACGCGAACGTTATTGGATCGATCAACTGCAGATTGTGAGGCCAAATGGACTCAAAATTCAACATTATAACCAGATAATACCCTTTATAACGACATTTGATTCTACAGCTACCAAAGCCTCCATAATAGTCAAACGCCATTACTCGGAACTTCAGACCAAATTTCCCCATGTATACACAAAACGTTTGGTTGTAGCTTACAAAAGAAATCAAAATCTTAGCAATTTCCTCTTTCACGGTAGACTTGAACCATTGAACAATGTCCATTCATCCTAGGAGCATAGATTTGTTAATATAAATGTATCATGTTCTATCAATAAATTAATCTATTTCTGAGTTAGATTTCAGGGAATACTTATTTCAGGACTGGTTATGGTTATATACAGTATATTATATAACATGCAGTGTATTTTTGTGTTTGTGTCTTTTCAACTAAAATCATACTAATGACTAACTAATTTTCACATAATCAATAGACTTATCTATTGCTCTGTGACCTAGGCCAGTGCTTTCATTGAGACTTGTCTCAATACACCCTAACACGACACTGAAATAATCAAATTATATTACTTAACACCATAACACAACACTGAAATAATCAAAATATATTCCTTAATACCATAACACTACACTGAAATAATCAAAATGTATTATTTAACACCATAACACAACGCTGAAATAATCAAAATATATTCCTTAATACCATAACACAACACTGAAATAATCAAAATATATTCCTCAACACTATAATTCAACACTGAAATAATCAAAATATATTACTTAATACCATAACACTACACTGAAATAATCAAAATATATTATTTAACACCATAACACAACGCTGAAATAATCAAAATATATTCCTTAATACCATAACACAACACTGAAATAATCAAAATATATTACTTAATACCATAACACTACACTGAAATAATCAAAATATATTCCTTAATACCATAACACGACACTGAAATAATCAAATTATATTACTTAACACCATAACACAACGCTGAAATAATCAAAATATATTCCTTAATACCATAACACAACACTGAAATAATCAAAATATATTCCTCAACACTATAATTCAACACTAAAATAATAAAAATATATTACTTAATACCATAACACTACACTGAAATAATCAAAATATATTATTTAACACCATAACACAACGCTGAAATAATCAAAATATATTCCTTAATACCATAACACAACACTGAAATAATCAAAATATATTACTTAATACCATAACACTACACTGAAATAATCAAAATATATTCCTTAATACCATAACACGACACTGAAATAATCAAATTATATTACTTAACACCATAACACAACACTGAAATAATCAAAATATATTCCTTAATACCATAACACTACACTGAAATAATCAAAATATATTATTTAACACCATAACACAACGCTGAAATAATCAAAATATATTCCTTAATACCATAACACAACACTGAAATAATCAAAATATATTCCTCAACACTATAATTCAACACTGAAATAATCAAAATATATTACTTAATACCATAACACTACACTGAAGTAATCAAAATATATTATTTAACACCATAACACAACGCTGAAATAATCAAAATATATTCCTTAATACCATAACACAACACTGAAATAATCAAAATATATTCCTCAACACTATAATACAACACTGAAATAATCAAAATATATTACTTAATACCATAACACTACACTGAAATAATCAAAATATATTATTTAACACCATAACACAACACTGAAATAATCAAAATATATTCCTCAACACTATAATACAACACTGAAATAATCAAAATATATTACTTAATACCATAACACGACACTGAAATAATCAAAATATATTACTTAATACCATAACACTACACTGACATAATCAAAATATATTCCTTAATACCATAACACAACACTGAAATAATCAAATATATTACTTAACACCATAACACGACACTGAAATAATCAAAATATATTCCTTGATACCATAACACGACACTGAAATAATCAAAATATATTCCTTAATACCATAACACAACACTGAAATAATCAAATATATTACTTAACACCATAAAACAACACTGAAATAATCAAAATATATTCCTTAATACCATAACACAACACTGAAATAATCAAATATATTACTTAACACCATAAAACAACACTGAAATAATCAAAATATATTCCTTAATACCATAACACGACACTGAAATAATCAAAATATATTCCTTAATTTCATAACACAACACTGAAATAATCAAAATATATTACTTAATACCATAACACGACACTGAAATAATCAAAATATATTCCTTAATTTCATAACACAACACTGAAATAATCAAAATATATTACTTAATACCATAACACAACACTGAAATAATCAAAATATATTCCTTAATACCATAAAACAACACTGAAATAATCAAAATATATTCCTTAATACCATAACACGACACTGAAATAATCAAAATATATTCCTTAATTTCATAACACAACACTGAAATAATCAAAATATATTACTTAATACCATAACACGACACTGAAATAATCAAAATATATTCCTTAATTTCATAACAGTACAATAGTTAAGGAAACTATAAATCATACCTCAGAGTTTCTCATTAATTTCTGCATCACCATGTGTCTAGCATTAGTACCACTTATCTTAATATTTTCTTGTTGATCTAGTGTTTGTGGTAAATCATCTAAACTTTTCTTTTTCTCATTTTCTTCAGATTTTTCTTTTGATGCTAAATAAAATGATAAAAAATTTAACATCTTTCTTTTCTCCTTATTGTATTAAGATAGGTAACACCATGTGTACCAGCGCAATTTTGTTATAGCAGCTGCATAAACCTATCCCTTTTAAATTTCGACATTTACGTGTATGTCAAGGTCTATTACTGTAGTGCATGTATTAATTATTGATGTCAAAATTTATACTCAAAATTGTTCACATTATCATAATCACAGAAATACAGCAATATCTCCAGTTGAAATGTTTTGCCAAATAGCCTTGACATGAAATATACTTACAATGTGAATCACCATTACTAGATGCTGGTGGTGGCATAGGTGGTAAAGGAACATTTTGTAGAGAAACAGTTGGCATACCCATTGGTGGTATAGCCATAGGTAATGGTATCTGGCCTGGCATAGAAACTGGTGGTGGTACAGGCAAACCTATTCCACCTAACTGTGGTACAGCTATACCAGGTTGTCCTATTCCAATAGGTGCCATTACTGATGGTGGTGGAATAGCATCAGGGGGTGCAACCTGTTGAAATTTGGAGCCGCCCATTAAACTTGGAGGTGGACCAACAGGTGGGGGTGGCTGCAAAAGAAAACATATCAAACATAAGTAAAATTTGTTAGCATTATTACTTAGATATATAATGCTTGCTACAACAGATAAAATCCAATAGTCATAACTTGAGATATTAAGATTGAGCAGAATTGCATTTTCACTTACAACAGGTAATGCAGGTCCTTGATTCAATGATTGTTGAACATCCATTGCTGTTATTTTGGCTGTCACTGCAGCTGCTGCAACTGCTGCTGCAGTTGGCATACTCAATGGTCCTGTACTTGGTGCCTCTAATACTTCAGGTGGAGTGATTGCCTACAACAAAGAAAATAAGGATTAATAACCTATTAGAAGACAGAAATATCTTGATTCAAACATTTGATCTGTAATTATTTTGCAGTCAATCCATGCACAACACAACCATTCTTAGATAACTTGACAGACAAGGTAACATATGCTTACAATAGATATGAAGTAATCAGTGGCGTTTCTAAGGAGAGGCCAGGAGGGTCATTTTATGCAAAGGCAAAAATTCAAAAACCATTCATTAAAACAAAGTCATTGAATAAGTTCAAGATCAACGGTGGCTCACATACGACATATTTCACATTTGATTTTGAATTAAAAGCATTAATTTTCACCTAGGTGAAAATAAGGTGATAATTCTGGTAATTTTGAATTAAAAACTTTAATTTTCAAAACCATTCATTAAAACAAAGTCATTGAACAAGTTCAAGATCTACGATGGCTCAAATACGACATATTTCACTTTTAATTGTGAATTAAAAACATTAATTTTCAATTAAAAACTAGGTGATCACCTAGGTGATAATTATTTTTACCTAGGTGAAAATTAGGTGACAATTCCGGTGATAATTCAACGAATCTTGTAAAAAATGTTTTTAATTAAAAATTCTTCAATTATCATGATCTCATCATGCTAATGTCAATATTTATTTCCATCAAAAGAAGATAACAATTAAAGCTTCTGTTAGTTGCCTGGCAATATTTTCATGTGTGTATACCAAAAAACTTTGGCTTGTATTCCATGAGATCATGATTGAACCAATGTAGATTAGGTTGAAAAAGGATATACAAAAGGCAATAGAAACCTACCTTTCCAACACGCAAGTACTGGCCACCAAGATCAAATAAATTCATAGAAGCTACAGCATCAGCTGAGGCTTGAGGGGTAGAATATTCAATAAAACCAAATCCCCTGAAATATCCAAAATATATTGATAGTGTTTAATATAAAGCCAAATACATAACAAGGCAAACAAACTTATTATGATAAAGATATGGGTATTTTGTTTGGGTTTTTTTTTTCTTGCAGATTGCTCACCTTCGGTTTATACCAAAAAGTTCTCATTGAATAGAGCATTTTATTGGTTGAATATTTTCATGATCAAGATATTGTGGTACACAACATTTTCCTTGGATGACTAACCAAAGCTTTAACTAAATAAACCAGCACTTACTTATGTTTCCCAGGTTTAGTAGGATCTAACGGTATACTGACATTCAAGATTACACCAAAAGCTTCAAAAACACTGAAAATAATATTGTATAAAAATAAATCTTACGCTAAAATTATCATTCGTAATAGTATCCAATAGTTAAAAGTATAATAGCAATCCAAAGCCATTTTAAGAACGAATAACATTGTCTTTTCTACAGTATTGAAGATTTCATTATATCAGCTTGATTGATATTTTTTGCTTTTGAACTCGACTATACAACCATATCCTTTTAATAACTTGAAAGTACCTTTTAATATCTGTTTCTGATAAATCATGATGTATAGAAGCTATATAAATACGATTATAATTCTTGGACTCCTCAGCTAGCTGTTCTATAATAGGTTGAGCTTGTGGCATATTACTTGGTCTTCCAACCTGAAATTAGTAACAAACTATTTTATATGAAATATACAATCACAGAAGGATTTAATACATAACTCTTAACAGATCATGAATACACTTTGATGATGGGTGTAAATTATAAAAATATAATACTCCATAATATAATGTATTTCAGTTTTCTTATGAAAAACAAATGTAAAGGAAAGTTTCTACAAAATTCTCCACATGGCTCGAAATAAGTATCCGGAAACTGACATTGCACGGTACAATTTCGGCAAATGTTCGGTAAAATCTCGTTTTTAAGACGGACATTTTTGTCTGGTATCAAATCTAAGAAAAAATATTGTTGAAAAGATCGTGAATTATCAGCGATTCTGACCGTTAATGTGCCAATAGACGTCAAAGTTTATAGTCTATAACATAGTCTAGACCATCCAGATTACTAGCACCTAGAAAGATAGCTTTCCAGGTCAAGTTCAAGTCAAGTCGTTTGTTCGAATTTTTTTAGTAATTTTAATTCTATAATTACTTCATATAAACATGAGATGATCTTTCATATGGTACTAAATATCATAAAATCTAATCATCCTTTCATACTTTTAACCAAATATTACATAAGAATATACACTGAGCCAGAGGAAATTGTCAAGCACCATGTTAAGTAAACACTGGATGTTATGATTGTCACGGGTATTCTTAAAACCAAAAGTAGAAAAACAATGAAAGTAAGAAAGTCACTGGCTGATATAAATAGATTTCTTTTTCTTGTCCAATTAGATTATTTCCGTCAGCTCTTTTATTATGTTCTTAGAACTTTTCAACAAGATATGATTTAATTCAATTACGTATTGTTTTACAGCTTTATCGTTTCCTGAGAGTCACCAGGAATATAAAGAATCGCTAAGGACTCTTTGGATGACATAAAATAATCTTAGCTAGTTGTTGACCTGTAGCCTGTTGCACTTGCAGGTGAGAAAACGGCGAATTTCAGTCCTAAATTGAGTGGTTTTAAATGCCATTTTTCAATCTAAAATACCGTATTTGTCCCGTTCAAATGTTATTTCAAGCCTTGATTCACCAAATGATATTTTTCAAGTATACAGATTGTATAATGTCTGCAATTGACTTTCCCTTACTGATAGATTTAACAACCATAGCACTAGGAACAAACCTTGATATTTCTTCCTCCAATCATAACACCATTCATCTGTTCTAACGCTAATTGCGCTGCTTCAGGGATTTCATATTCAATAAATGAGAAGCCTTTATGTTTATTTGTGATAGGATCCCATGATAAATTAACACTCTTGATAGGTCCAAATGGTGAAAATGCTTGCTTTATAGTGTCTTCTTTAATTTCAAAATTTATACTTCCAATATATATTCTGCAAATATAAAAATGTTTGGTGTAACATATTATTTCAAAATATATATGGGCATCGCAAACTTGAATTCAAACCACTACATAAACTCAAAACAAATGCTGGAACATATATTATTAACAAGAATGGTATTATGTCACCAAATTCTGATTGTTTCATCTTGCTCAGACTTGCAAAATATAAGAACATTATTTTTGTATGGAAAAAATTCTCGAAAAATCTACATTATGTGACTCAATATTAACAATATCAAACTATCAACATACCTGCACATTAAAGCCAGTGCTTGTTGTCTTTGTACTGTTGTCTGAAAGTTCTGCATTTGCTGAAATACAAATATACAGAATTGATAAAATATAAGCTATGAGGACCCTCCAAGGCAATTTCCCATTCCATTTTCTTAACCTTTTACCCATAAACAACACAATATGAAATTTCAGATTTGCCCACTATGTCAATTGGTTCCTTACACTTTTATGACTTGTTGATATCAAACTAAGTCTAAACGATCTAGAAATGTTGGCAAGAAACTGACCTGGTGCTGATGAGCTATAGTCTGCTTAACTAAAACACTTTTAATACTCTGTTCCATAGCATATTTTTTAGCTTTCTGAATAATTTCTTGTTGAGATGATGATAATTTAGGCAAAGAGAATGGTTTAGTATCACGTTTAGCACCAGGACCTTCCAGTAACAGACCATGTTGTTCAGCTTGATGTGGTATATCTTCCAAGAACATAAAGTCATCTCCTAAAATATAAAGACACTATTTTCATATCTGACTAACCTGGTATATAATATATATATATATAGTCATATGATATGCTACTTTGCAGTGCTTATGTGACTAAATGACAACATATAAAAAAGGATTTGTAATACTTGCAACAAAACTAGGGCCTTTAGAATTATCTGAATTTTCCATAAATTGTTATTTGAAGCTGAAGTACCCAAAAACTAAAGATTATTACTCAAATTCTCATTTATAGCATTATAAGCACTGTCAAGTAAAACACAAGACTTAATATATCTTTGGCAAGCTAGTCAGTACAAGTACATGAAAATTCATGTCAGAATGGTGCTACTGATTGTTGAAATCTTACCGAATAATTTAGATATTGCAAATTAGATCAAAATGAAAATAAAATTTCTGATGCTGTAAAAACTGATAAAAACCACATGAAACAAGGTTTACCACTTTAGAGTTGCAATTATGGCCCCTGTTTAAGCCTATAGGCTTTGAGTATTTAGCCTTCAGAATATGGGCTGCCCTTTACACAATAGAATGCTGTCTAGACCAATTCATATGAAAAACACAGAAAAAGAAGAAAAAAAGATATTATTTGTCTGATTAAAATAATGATCTTTGTGTGTGTGTCTTTTACAAAATATATTTCATAAATCCTGTAAAAATAAACAAAATCAGAATATCATTAATAAAACCAATTCATACCAAATTCTACTTTTTACATTTCATTTTTAATTGCAAACTACAGGTAATAACGTCTACTTTTTGAGTAAAATCTTAAACCTTTAAAGTGATAGGATGTACTAATATTTCTTGAAATATCTAATAGTCTAAAACTGATAATCATGTTGAAAATTTTTTGAAAATTCACTGACATTAATGGAACAACCAAGGATTTTACAAAGTTAACATATAGTGATAAATCTGGCAACAAAGGGAGGAATGATTTTTGATCAATTCTTGTGCTTACTCTCCCATTTAACAAGAAAAAACCAGGATTTTTTCTACATGAAAATAAAGCTCTTGATATATGGCTAATTGTCAAACCCTCCTAGATTATTAAACTGAATCAGCTTTAAGAATCCTTGATCTACAAAATTTGAATTCCTTTTATTTAGATTCAAATCATTTTCAAATGAATATCTAAGGGGTTCATCCTTGTGTAATTATGTATATTGCTACAGATTAATGGACCAAGAAACAGAATAATGGTTTCAAAAACAGTTAGTGGCCCAAGCAACTCTGTCTAAATCCAAACCACCTGTCAAATCTGAAAACAGAAATTGATATCTGAAAAGTAAATACAGAACATTTAATGTTTGCAACCCAAAATCAACTTGATGGAAAACTAAATAAGTAATTCACAACAGAGAACTTCAATATTGTAATATCTGAGTATAGTAAATGACAGTTATATTATGCATTATGTTTGGATGACACGTGCACCATAGTGAAAAAATTAGAAGATTTTGCCCAAAATGATATTTGAGATGAAAATGTCGAATCTGCTTAAGTTTTTCTTGAATCACAAGAGCCTCAATTGTTGGATCCTAGTATCTGATAGGTTTCAATTGAAACCCTTAACAACCCCAGTTTTAAACAAGGCTCTTGATTTGAACATGATATTCAAACAATTTCAATGGTTTTTTGTGTACTAGATTTGCTTTAGTTTTTTCTTTCTAAACACAATGCACAAGTACAGCTAAACAAAATGTTTTGAAAGAAATAGCATCACAGAGCTTATCAATTTCCAATGTAAAAGAAAGTGATGACCAACTGTCGTATGCCCAAATTCACATCACAATCAACATCCTTGATCAAAAAAATATAACCAATAAAGCTTATTAACACTTATACAAGTATTGTTTTTTATAACAAACCCCAGTGTAGTGAACAATGTATATATGTCATGTTTAAATATGATTTCCCAATAAGTCAATGATTGCGGATCCCTTTTCTTTCCAAACTGAAAATATAGAGAAATAAGAAAATCTGCATTAATATTTATGAAGAATCTTTAACAAAACCAAACTTCTAAAATAATTTTCGTTTAAATTGTAAGTAGTTTTAACAATGAAGTTTCAAGAACACGAACAGAAAAGACTTAAGAAAGAAGTACTGTTAAGTGTTTATTAAGTAATAATGTAAGAGCACTATAGCCCTATTTCAAACTTGCTCGCTGCATATAAAACATTCTAATAGGACATAGTGATTTTTGTTTAATAATGTTAAGCAAAGACGTGTGAACAATAGCGTTTTCACTGATTTCAAATTCTTAATTCAGCTGTCCTCAACATACATTGAAATATACTTTCACAGAATTGGTTTGAACTGAAAAGACAGAAAAAAGATATCCAACTTTATTATCTTTGCTCAGACTGTTTAACAATAAAATCGAGGCTTACCAACAAACCATCATTCTGTATGAGAATGTATCAAAATATTAACAGGATGTTACAGGTTTTTGTTAATTTTTTATGTGTATCGGGGACACTTATATCATCAATTTGCACCATTCCAATTTTTAATCAGATGTCTGTGGTTCAGGCACTTCCACTCAAACCAAGTTTTTGATGACATCACTAATTGCAAGAGTCTTGTTTCAAAAAGCATTATTTGCGATTAGTGACATCATCAAACACTTATTTTTTGTGGAATTGCAGGAACCACAGACGTCTGATTTAAAAATTGGAATGTTGAAAATTGATGCTTTCAGTGTCCCCAAAACACATAAGATTTTATAGAATATCTCTTAACAATCCCTTTAAGGGAAAGTGCCAAAAGTCAAGCAAAATTGTCTCAAAGTACATGGCAGGTTTTCAGCTTTACTTTTTAGAATTTTTGTCACAGTAGATGAGTCTCATAGTAATTTACTAAGAAATTGGTACATTTGTTACAAAGTAAATTGGTCACAAAGTAATTAATAAATGTGATGTGGTCAAGGTAAAATAACTCAAAGGATGAACATGTGGCATTTTGCTTTGATTCTCATCTAGAAATCTAAGCTTTGTAAAATATGGATATATCGAGTTTCAAATATGGATTGGGCTCAGAAAAAAAAGGAAAAAAAACAAAAAAGTCTCATATTGCTTCATTTAGTAAATGTTTTAAATAAATGAGCAGTTACACCCATGCTAGAAATCTCAGAAACATACACATCAGATATAATAATTATACCAATTTGTGGAATTAAAAATGAATGTGTGACTAATTAACCTTTTGTCAATATTATTGTGACCAAATTTTAACACCCCAAAGCATCTATTCTTATAAGAATAAGGATGGGCAGCTTATGTGATTATATAAGTGTGAAGAAAATTTTTATATAGTTCACTTAATTGGTAAAAAAGAAAATGACGTTTCAATAGTTGTCCATTTTTTAGTCTTCTTCTGTAAGTTCTTCTTTTGCCTTGCTTGATTTCATGTGAACAGAAAACACACACACATTGATCAGTGTATATAATTTTAAGTACCGGTAGCTTACTAATTTTATTAACAAGCAAATTCTTTATGACTTTAACCCATTACTATAGTAAGATAATGATTGTTTTGTCATTCATTTTCTTACTAACAATATGGGTCAATTTATGAATTTGGAAGAAAACAAACTTGAATTTACCAACCTCCATCATATTTCATTTTACTTGAGCTGGGCAATGGTGGCATACCAAGTCCTGGTGGAATACCCATTGATGGAAATCTAGATGACTGTGATTTTGGAACAGGCGGCATCCCTAATCCAGGTGGTGGTATAGACTTTGGCATTCCAGAACCAGGATATCCCAGAGACATTTTAAGCTATGTATAAGAAATGGAAAAAATGAAAAGCAATTGATTATTGAGAATCTGAAGTGTGATTAAATAGTGATGTCTTCTTTCTTCTGACAGTTCGGAACAGGACGAAGATGTACAGATGTATCAATTAATAGCTCTTCTTCTACATAAATGATTCTTTATGTTTTCTGTGGTTTAAATCCTGAAAAAAAAAAAAAAATTTAAGACATTGACCCATATTAATTAAATTTAAAGGGACAGATCTGCTATTAACTGGGATCAATCAGACCTTGGTTTCAGAAATTGAACCTTCTTTGTCATGTGTATTAATAATGGGTTTTAGTAATAATGGCCCTAAACTAAAATGGTCCCAGGTCAAAATGGCCCCCAAAGTCAACATGGTCAAAGTCAATAATTAGCCAAGTTTGATAGTTAAAAGCGCCACTAAAATTTTCTATTTTGAATAAATGTAAATGATATATAGTAGACTCGATCATCACGTTCTACTTTTTGAATTTTGGGCTTTTCGTAACCTACCCTACAGTCTAGATCTGTAGAAATTTTGCATATATTCAAGATCAAAATCAACAGCAGATAATGGCAAATATATCCCTTAAAGTCTGTCAGGTACGATACATTCGCATTAAGATAGAAAATGGCAGGACAATGACTTTGTTGGTCTTTCCCAATGAGTAGGCTACTGCTGTATGATACTATTGACATTGTTGTTATATCCCGTTTAAGTGAATCGCAATATTCAACCCGTTCTATTTTGAAGAAGTTTTGATGATTAGCATAAATTTAACTTTAAGAAGTTTGGCTACTAACCTACCGTAATCCGCACGTAAAATATTGCTTTATTGGGCACCAAATTATTAAAAAAAAAAACATGCAACAATAATCTACAAAGCTTTATCTTTACAATAATTCCACTCGTCTATTTTTAGGATTCTCCATATATACCGAAGCGAATTATTATTTTGTACTGGTAGCGAAATTCGTTGTTGAAAGGCAAAAAAAACTTCAAACACTATCTGGATATAAATAGTTATTTCATGGAATTAGGATTGAATAGACTCTTACTTTTAATACAAAGTAAGCACAACGGGTAATATCTGATATTTTTGCTATATTTTCGTGACATAGAGGAATAAGAAGTAACTTTGATGAAATTTTACTCTCTATTGTCCAGACTGAAAAATATTTACTTTGATATATGATTTTTTAAGTATACTACTACTACTAGATCTAATTTTAAGATATGAAATCAAGGAATTCATTTGCGGTTATCGTTATAGTATTTGATGATCGTGGCTAAGTTTGTCTCAAACTGATGGAGTAGAAAACGGTTAAATCAGTTCCTTGGTTTAAATCCCTGAATGTGAGACCAATGTAATCGAGTGTATTGATACTTCCGATGTAAACACGTGTTTTCCATCTTACAAAATATCGTACTTCTACAAATTACTGGCGACATGGGGAAAAATAAAAAGGAAAAACGTATGTCAGAGGCTGACGACAATGAAGTTACATACGAGGAAAAAATGGAAAACATTATGGCGATAGCAAACCCCATTGCATCCAAAAAGTTAACCAAAAGAATATACAAAACCGTTAAAAAAGGTACTTTAATTAAAGTCTGATGCAGCAGCGGTTTATTCCTGCCCTAGTCTTACTCTCATCCTGATGCCACGGCACAGGCATCTGTTTCTATCAATAGTCGACTCTCTCTATAATAGCATATATACTATTATAGTGAAATCGTGTCGAGCCACGGCCAGGGTCGGCACGCCCTATCATCATGATCACAGTTAGCTCAGAAATGATTTTGTCCTACCATTTAATAATGAATTTCAAATACAATCTGTCATGTCTTGAATCAAGAGTTCTTATCATTAGGCCAAAATAAGATTATGGTTTAGGGATATTTTACATTAGAAATGAATGGAATGAAATGAAAAAATGTCCTTTTATATACGCCCACTTCACCCAGGTCTGTCCGTCTACAATTGCTCGTAAGCACGCCACTAAAATTTTGTATTTCGAATATTTGTAAATGATATATAGTAGACTCGATCATCATGTTCCAATTTGTATACGCATAGATACGACAAAAGTGATCTGGGTGTCAAAGACTAGATAACGCCTATAACTAGATCAACAAGCAATCTAGATCTGTAGAAATTTTACATATATTCAAGACCAAAATTGTTCTTGAAAATGCGTTCTATTTGTAGCTTGTTTATACTAGAAGGTTCAATCATTGACAGATTTTGTGTGATGGTTTGTTGTCACCTAAGGATGAACCCTATTGAAAATCAGAAAAATCGAAAAATAATTGGTATGAGTTATTGCCCCTGTTCTTGAAAATGTGTTCCATTTGTAGCACGTAAACACTCTAAAAGGCACAATTCTCGTTGGATTTTTACGAAACTTGGTGTGAGTGTATGTGATCACCCAAAGATGAACCCTAATGAAAATCAGAAAAATCAAAAAATATTATTGCCCTTGTTCTTAACATCGCGTTCAAGTTTTAGCCTGTTAACACTCTAGATGGCCCAATTCTGGACAGACTTTGATGAAGCTTGGTTATATTATTCAGTATCGCCTCAAAAAGTTCAAAAGAAGTGTATGTCTGAAGGTTGAATATGTCATACTGGTAATTGTTACTGTACTGCTAAATATTTTTATTTAACATCAAAGCTTGCCTGGCAAGCTATCTTTACATTAGTTGGTATTTCATAAACTCAAAGAAAATCTATTTATTTAATTCTACAATCTTGACTTTCAGCAAGTAGTCAGAAGAAACAAGTTATTCGAGGAATAAAACAAATACAAAAGTTTATTAAGAAAGGAACTAAGGGGTAATTGTTTTTATGACAATACAAAATAAAACCTAGAAATACTTTGATAAAGATTAATGTGTGTTCAGTATTGAGGGATATGAAGTTCTTTCATTTTTTTCCCTTATCAATAATAGTAAAATGAGACTGATATTTGGGTCTGAAATTGATTCTGCTACATAATTGCTCTTTAGAGTAAGAATGATGTTCAACAATATTTTCATCTTTATCCGTAGTTTTGTTGTTATTGCTGGGGATGTCCACCCTATTGATGCTGTATCACATTTACCAATTCTCTGTGAAGATGCTGAAGTTCCATATTGTTATATTCCTTCAAAACAGGTATGTCTCATTGTCAGTATACCATGTCAATTAAAAAAAGTTTGAAAAAGAAACATTCTTATGTCTTTAGTGCCAGTGCACAACTTAGAGATTATACTATTCAGAATTGGAAATAATATATTACCAGTATTTGTCAAGAAAAAAGTCAACTTACAGTATTTTAATACATGTTTTGATCTGTGAATTTGTTCAAACATGAATTGGTTAAAAACAATACCTCGGACTCTTATTTTTCCAATCCATTGTTCATGGTCTCATTCATCTCAAAATACATTAGACTGTTTGTTTTTGAAGGGTGAATTAACTTATATTTTTGCAATTTATACCAATATTATTTTCAATAATACTTATAATATATTTCAGGATCTGGGAAGGTCTCTAGGTTCTCAGTATTGTGTAGTAGTTATGGTACAGTCTCATGAAGATTATGAAGAACTTTATGATGAAACAATTTCAGAAATCAAGTCTTTACCTTTGCCTTTTTGAACATTGTGCTTATTGTATGTCAAGTTGTGACTGAAATAATAAGATAGTCATTTACATCCATTTTTAAACCTCACTTTGAAAATTGAGGTCTTGTTTCCATTCTTTTTCATTTTTCATATCATAAATGAACTTCAATAAAATGAAACAATAGAAATTTTGTTGTTAAATACCATTAAGGTAAAGCCATATGTGAATTATCTTAAAGCAGCTCAAAGTGTCTGTGAGCGTGTATGGGTACATGATCCAACTCTGTAAACTTTACTGTTTGTATTCAAGTGAATTGATATGAATGTATATGGGTAATTTTCAGAAGTATTTATTGGAAAAGAAGTGAGAAAGGCATAAGAAAAAAGACACTGTATTGTCTGAGCAAAGTAAAAAGTTTGTATTATATTTTTTAACAGATTTGGAATTTCAGCCTCAAAATAGAATTGTTAAGTCTTAGAATGTCTTTGCGTTGATGAAAATGTGTGTACATAGAAAAGAAACACATTTCTCTCATGTACATTTTTTTCATATAAATTTTTCCATCAATTTTATGAATAATAGCCTCAAAATAGCACTGTTAGTTTAAGAATCTCTTTGCGTTGATGGAAATATAAGACTTATAGTGCTATTTTGAGAGTATTATTCCAATTCTCATAAAAATGATGAAAAAAAATTGAATAACTTTGCTCAGACAATAGGCAGATTTTCGGAGAAAAAAGGGTCTACTCTCCCCTCAACACCAATCTACAACACCCCGACCCAACCATCACAACCCTGCCACCATTTTTGCCTTTTTTGGTATTTGCTGTTATGCACCTGCAAAAGTAAAGTACCTGTCAAATAGGAACACACATGTTTGTTATTTTTTTTGTTACTTATGTGTAATATTCAGAAAATACTTGGAAAAGGAAATTTGATCGACAATGTCTTCTTCATAAAGTCAACCTGACTTTGACAACCTGGCAATGACTTGACATATACTATATATATGTACTGTGATGTTTACTATATTCAATCGTTTTCTTTTCAATAAAAAAACCTTTTATTTGAAAAATGCGGATGGATCGTTTCTTGACCAGTCCAGTAATACTATTGTCATAAACTGCTTGTCTGTCTTTGGTAAGCTTTGTTGTTCCGAGACATCCTCTTCGGCTACTACTCAACTTAAAGGGCGGCGGAGGCGGTAGCGACGATAAAAACCTCTGGACAGACAAGTAGTGTTTTCGGTGCACTATGGAATGCCTAAACGGAAAAAATCCAACATTCAAAAATCACATACTAAGAAGTTGAAATTTTATACCAAGAAACTCATATTATTTAACAAAATCTTTAATCATATACCAAATTCAAATACAGATATTTAATTGTATACCAAAGACATTATATTGACTGAAGCCCTGGGGTAAGGATGCGTCCTGGGGCCATGATATATGAAAAACAAATTTCTTCTATTATCATTTAAATTTATGTTAATAAGACGTAAATTTCAAGGTATCTGTAATTTTTAATTATTGAAATGAAAGGAACATTGTACGGAAGCGTCTTGGGGCCATGATAAATAAAAATATATTTTATTCTATTATCATTTGATTTATGTTAATTAGACGAAACTAATACTTTATCTTTATCTTGATTGGAACTAAATTTTGTATTTATTGAATTGAAATGAACAGCGTTCTTTGGACATGTTATTAATGTAAATGACTAAATATCTCGTAATTAGAAATTAACACTTTTTCCGACTATTTAGTTATTAAAGGGAATCGTTATTATCAACCTTAACCCCAATTTTACGTCCTGTGTCTGTGGTATCGTAATAATGTTTTCAATGCAATGTCACAATAATTATTTTATCTTCACATGGCATCTTCAAAATCAAAACGTTTCAAATGTTTCACTCGTATCTTCTCTGGCTGACCTTTAACCTTCGATTTGAAATCTTTCCCAACCTTTGTCCATGTGTACCCCGAGGTGTGAATCCGAAATGCTCTGGGGTAAAATTTGGAAAGAGAAGAAGTGGGATGAAAAACACTCAAGGGGTAATTTGTAGTAAATAGGGGGAAATTTAGCAACAATTCCAAACTAAACTTGCTGATCTTCAGAATGACTCATCAGCTGAAAATTATCCACAGATTATGACTGTCTGGGTCCAAATTGAGTACACATGCAGAAATATTGCTACTTGCTACTTCGTATCTCATGGAGTGATTTTAGCATCATAGCGAAAATCTTGACAAAAAACGAACCAGTTTGGACATTTCTGAACGCAGCGCTCTATGCCTTAAATAAACAAAGCTAGTACCACCAAAGTACCAAAATACATTCGGGGTCGGCTTATTAACTTACGTATAGTTGTACAAAGATTTTGAAATCCTACCCCTCAAGTGTTTTGTGGTACCGCGTGGGACATCGTAGAAATGTCTTGGTGGGAAGCACGATTCAACTTTGTTCGGATAAAAAAAATTCTCCGGACTTTGGATTTTAACATGGTAAAAATTCTCAAGAACTAGCGACCCAAAAGTGGGTCGGAGCAACTCCCACGAAAAGTCGTCTTTTTATGAGATACCTATACATGTACAGAAATAGGAAAATAAATTCTTAATTTGAGATATTTTGATCTAGGCCTACTTCTGAAGATTATTTACATAATTTATATACAGTGGTGTAACCTATTTTCGTGCATGTAAGGATTCAACACCGAATTTCGTCAAAGTTAAAAAATTAAATTTCCTCAGATATTCTACAAAATAATTAAAATGGGTTTTTCTCGATTTTCTGTATGAATCCTTCACTTTGACCCATATTTCATGAGCAACCAACTCGGCAACGGCGGCAGAATGCGTCACTTATTTTCATGTACAATGTTTGATCTATAAATAAGTCGAGAAAAACACGTTGTATGCATACCCAGTAGTATAACTAACTTTTCTCGGTATTTATCTCTAATATCAATTCATTATAACTAGTACCTTCAAAAAGCTACGATTTTAAAAAAAAATAGTGACTGACAAAATAAGATACGTAGCTTGATTCATTGCTAAAAGTCACTGAAACAACACAAGAATATGGCCCATTTTGTGTTCCATAGAAATTTTATGCTGACACGGAAACCGCTAGTTGATCTAGCAGATGACACTTGGAATTCCGATTACAGCTAAGGATTATAAGGAAATTCGGCCGATAAAAAATGGTGACGTTTGGTAATAAGTGAAATCCGCCATTTTGTATTTGTCAAAGTATACATTAATACATTTTACCCCGCTTGAAACTACTGGATTCCTTCTACTAGCTGATATTGTAGAGATAACACATGTTTATCGAAACAAGCAAATGTGGAGGTCTAGCGAGGTCGCACATGTATATTATTAATCATTTCCGGAAATGCACGAAAAATAGGTTAGCACGAAATTAGGTTACTTGACTGTATAATTAAGACTCAACCTTCTAAATGGGCGCATCTGTCCCTTTAACATAGTGAACACTGCTTTAACACTGTGCCAGTGCCTTCTGTTGAATAGTAACAGTTACCTCTCAACCACCATAATCTCTATAGTTCCTACTTTTACGAGAATCAAACTATAAAAGCCCAAAAGATTTTTAATGCGACGCGTGGTAAATGTCTCCTGCCAGGAAGTCAGCGCATACCGTGTCGGCTACTCACATCATAGAACTGTTCACATATATCGTTACAGTTCTATGTACTTTAAAAAGTCTTGGGCTAACAGTCATTATATCTACTTCCCAAAAATACTTTGTCGTATTCGTAAATGGTCTTATTCCATTCGTCGTTTACATGTCAAATCTCGAAAAATCAGCTGAAATGGTTGACACTGATAACAAACAAATCGAAAGTAAAAACGAAAGTAAAAGAGACGCTCCACCAAAAAATGTATCTCTGCGTCTGTGGGAGGTAAAGATCTATTATTTTCTTCTTATTCAATCAAGTTATTCACCAATTTTTATCCCACATTTAAGTAAAAAATAAAATAGAGTTTTACGTCCTACTTTTTTTAACTGTGTAGAGTGATGTCAAAGAGGACTGCGGTCAATTCCATGCACTGTGCGATGCCAATGAGGGAACTTTAACCAGAGGAATTAGCCTTTTTTTCCCCCAATTCCAACATCGATGGATTATTGATTTCCAAGGTCCATCCATGTCATCCACATTTTTATTTCTGGGAGGAAAGTGTGACTACTTCAGATGTTAAATCACTGAACCTTTTATTTCAATGGACTCGAAGAAATTCTAAGACAAATGGTATAGCCTACAATTGAAAACTTTATTTTGAACATTAATGAAATAAGATAAACAAAATTTGATTCAGAGCTCAATGTAGTATCTGACAATGTAAATTCTGGGTATGCCTAGGCCTACTGATCTTTTCCAGAAATTCAAATCATTAGAAAAAAGAACTGATGAAATAAGCAAAAGATACAAAGAAAAAAGAAATAAAACTTCAAAGAAGAGCAATTCAGTGAAAGGTATGTTTCAATATCACATGTATATAATTTAGTGGAAGTTTTTTCAACCATTGTTTTCAGACTCCGTATTAGCAAAATTGCACAAACTAAGGTCATTATCTGTAATTTTCAGTGAATAAAAAAAGTGAACATAAAGATGAAGATGAAAAGGGAGGGAAAACACAAGATATTACATTTTGTACAAGCAAGAAATCAGAGGAACCTGAAGCATCAACTTCATCGTAAGTCTTTGCTTTATAGGTTTCCACTGAAATGATTGAACAGTGCCAGCTACTTTCATGAAAACTAAGGTTTTGTTTGGTGACAATCTCTACTAGGCCTATATATCTAGGGTTCAGGTACATTCCATTCAGTCATGCTATAACCCAGATTATTTTGTGTAGAATAGAATAATAAATGTTGGTTTGGATAATATCAAGTGACGTAATGAGTTCCAGAGTTTAAATTGATGATTCAGCAAATATCCGTACATTTGTAAGTCCAGTCCAAATATAAGTTTAACACTATTTTTTTGTGTGTAAAGGAAAGGTGAAAGCAGGGGAAATGAAGAAGCAGAATGGGAAGAGGTTAGAGAATTAATTGATGTCAATAAACATCTAGATCCTGGTATTACCTACAGTCAAAGTGAACTCGAGAAAGCTATAGATAAAGCTGTTGAATTGGGTGATATAGAAACAGCAGAAAAACTCAGTGATAAACTATCTAACAGACAGGTAATATTAAATATTCCAAACTTGAACATTTATTCATTCTGAATTTCTGTATTTCTTTATTTGTTTTGTCTCCTGTTTTACTGCGCATAAAATCCATTATCTCCAAAATGAAGGAAGATTTTTGAATTGTCTCACTTCTAAACATTTCAAGTGAAAATTCATTGAGATGTGGTTTTATGTTTTTGAGGTCCCAAAACCAGTTAGTCTGTAAAGATCTGGAACACCAAATTTCCAGCAGGTAGGACCCATAGAATTGAAGATCTGGAGACCATTTCACTACAAGAACATATTTTTTGAAAGTTGTCTTGTCCTCATAATTGTGTTGCGCTAAAAAAAAGATTTGACGAAAAAATCTTACTGTCATTTCTAAAATAGATCATGTAGCTTATTTGAAATAGCTAAGTAGACTTGGGCACAAGCTCTGACTCGCTTTGCATATTTTTCCTTTCTCAACAGATGGTGGATATGACCGACAGGGAACTGTAATCCAGCCCGGGATGATCGGTGTTGCTCTTTCCTCCTTTTCCTCGTGCAGACATGGTGTGAATTTAGTTAGTGAGACTAGTAAGTGAATGAAGCGAATGTGACGACTAAAAATACTAATCCATTACAAATTAATATCACAACAAACACATTTTAGATCTGTTCAAAATTACAAATCAGTTTTATTTATTATATATCCTTAGAGATGTGTGAACAAAATTATCAATTTCTCTACATATAAAGTATTGTAAACAAAATAGTGGATATTAAAATATTTCACAAATTAACAAATATCACAGCTAGGCAATAACATGAATAATATGTATGCTAATAACTAATACACTGAACAAAACAATTAAATAATTTTTTTATCACTTAATGTATTCTATAAATGGAAGATCACTTTTACACAATAACTTTGATAATAAAAGAGACTAAAACTTCCAATAGTCCTAATGGAAATATTATAATTGCATAAGAAACATGGAGTTGGATATGGATTTTACAGATATTTTTTCATACAGGGCAAAAAACACATACTGTCTCCTACATGACAAATTAACTCATTACTACTTTAATAACTGAAAAATAAAGTAGACTGCTGAAGTTTGGAATTGTACCTACATGATGTCTTTGTTTGAACTACGGTATATAGGATACACAGTATATACTGATATTTAAAGTGCATACATTAATGTTCCATAATATAAACATAATTATACTATATTATATTGTGTAACATCACTATTTTATCATATGACTATACATTACTGTTACCTTCATGAGATTTCATTTTGTCTGTTAAATTCTAAAGCAAATATATTCTTGCAAACTTTTTGGTATAGGTAGCAACTGACACCCATAAAACACATTACACTTGTTATGCAGGCTTTGTCTAATTTCTAAGCTACAGTAATATTTCAAAGATTGAATTTTTTTCCTGTAGTTTAGCATCCAACTTATAAACTCTTTATCTTCTTCAGAATTTAAGTAAGCCACTTGACTAGAATTCAACTTATTACCTAATACTACCCATAGTTTTAAACATTTATACATTTTTTTATCAGCACAGAGAAAAAATAGATTCTGTTGAGTGTTATTTCTCAACTTTTCTAAATGTGGTGTAGCACAAATAAAACACCGCAAAATTACTTCTGACGATTCCTTCCACAAGAAGATTGATCCATGGTACTGTAGCCATAAGGATTCTATACCCAATAATAGTTTAGCTGATGAAATTAAACTCTCTAAACAACCAACATGATTGTTTCTTGCTGCCAAAATAATGGGAGTTGAATTCAGATCATTTTTAAGCATAGGATCTCCACCAGCCTTTAACAAATATTTTACTAAGTTTATATCACCAAGCTGGGCTGCCAGATGAAGTGCAGAATTTCCACCCTGTCTCTGTAGTTTGGAATTAACATTAAAGCCATCTTGTATTAAGTGCTCAACAATTTCAACATTTTTTGATGAGATTGCATCTAACATTTTTTTCTCCCTTCTAAATCCATTTAATAAAAGCTTTACTAAATCTGCCATCCTTCAGAGCTCTACAGTAAGAAAGGAATATCTAATTATACACATTGTTGAACTCAACAATTAACAGGGGATATTTTGAAATATGTACAGTCAAGTAACCTAATTTCGTGGAAACCTATTATTCGTGGATTCCCGGAAATGTTTAAAAATTTACATGAGCAACCTTGCGCGACCTCCGCATTAGTTTGTTTTGATAAACATGGGTTTTCTCTACAATGTCAGCTAGTAGAATGAATTCAGTAGTTTAAAGCAATGTAAAATGTATTAATGTATACTTTAACAAATACAAAATGGCAGATTTCAGTTATTACCAAATGTCACCATTTTTTATTGGCCGAATCTCCTTATAATCCCAAGCAGTAACCGGAATTCCAAGTGTCGTCTGCTAGAATGTAGTCCAACAAATGAAGTCACGTGATCAACTAGTGGATTCCATGTCAGCAGAAAATTTCTATGGAACACAAAGTGGACCATATTCTTATGTTGTTTCAGTGACTTTTAGCAATAAATCACGCTACGCATCTTATTTTGTCAGTCACTATTTTTTTTTTAAATCATGGTTCTTTGAAGGAATTGTCATAGTTATAATGAATTGATATTAAAGATAAATACTAAGAGAAGTTAATTATACCACCCGGTATCCATACAACGTGTTTTTCTAGACTTATTTATAGATCAAACATTGTACACGAAAATAGGTGACGCATTCTGCCGCCGTTGCCGACTTGGTTGCTCATGAAATATAGGTCAAAGAGAAGGATTCATAAAGAAAATCGAAATAAACCAATTTTAATTATTTTGTAGAATATATCTGAGGAAACATTTAAGATATAAAAAAAAAGTTTCGTTTTTTTGATTCGACGAAATTTGGTGTTGAATCTTTAAATCCACGAAAATAGGTTACAACACCACTGTATATCAACAAAGTAATGAAGAAATATAATGGGTAATGGTAAAGTCATTTTGAAACAGACAGGTTTTCCTTAATAACCATGTGAGTGTCAAACTGTACCGTATATATGCACAAACATTCTACCATGGTCATAAATTAGGGTTTATATTTCAGCTCAGCCCTTACCTTACTTGCATGTAGAATGAAATTGTTAAAATCAGTGATAAATAAGGCATTGTTTGGCATGAAATGATACCCATCACTATGGTCTTGGCACTTATTTCTGTTACGCAATGCTGTAGAAGTCTATTACATGAGAGCAAAGCTCTGTATAATAGTAACACATATATATACATCAATTTGTTTCAGAAAATTTATGCCCCACGGGTAGTAAAAAAAAAGTGAGAAAAAAGACGGCAAATCATGGGGGCCGCCATGTTTGTTGACAACTAGATCGCAGTCAATCGGGGTAGTTTCGGAGTGAATATTCTGGAATTCTTTAAATAAATCACGACAATCGTTTCAAACACAGAAAGGGATGTTTTGTACCAACTTAACAACCCTTACGTTTCATTTTTATTTTTCCTGGATATTCTATGCGTCATTAGGAATATAATGACAGCTTTGACCTAATTTCTCCCAAACAATGATGCCAGCTTTGTTGACATCATACGTCACGTTATAATGACGTCATCGTTATAGATGATTCCTTTCACACCTTAAAGAAATTTCTCTAGATACCTTATAAAAGATTGTCTTTTATTTAATTATTAGTAATTATTGTTATTTTATCAATAACCTGCGCTCTCATTCAAGGCCATGCCTTCATTCATATTACTCTATTATTACTAAGAAATAGAAAAATATTTCTGTCAATCAGTGCCAGTACAGTAGCTGTGTCCTACAACTTGTACCAGTGGAGTGGTCAGTTTGTTTAACTTTACCTCTTGCTCTTTCCTCTCTGGCTCTACATACTCACCTACTGAAACTCTACTCTAATTATCTCAATTACTTTGATACCATGTTTCCATGCAACTCCAGTCCTCTAATACACCAGAAAAATATTGATCTTGGATCTCGAAGACCATGCCATGGGTGCTGGAATTAATTTATGTTGAAAGCATGACCGTAATGACATCTTTCTGGTTTATTTACATTTTATATTTCCGATAAGGGGAGTAACTCTACCTAGAATTCTCTACCTAGGCTCAGACCGGTACCGTAGTTCATTTGCCAACTGTTTCCATTTTATATCACGAAATTCAACCTTCTATAACTTTTTCCAGAAATCTCGTTGGAAACTATCCAATTAGTCACATGGACTCACATGAAAGCCTGGCCAATACCTTATTTCTGGACAAAAATTCAATATATCATGACCATGAAAATCTTGAGCTAGCCAAACGGCAAGTAGACATTTTATCAACATCTGCATAACTGGCACTGCACACAAAACGACTATTTCTAGAATTATCATTCCGCATGAAATTCTCTTATTATCTGACAAAATCTGAAAGAAAATTCAATTTCAGACATCAAATTCCACACCTAAACCAAAAATAAGTCAGAAATAGCCACGCAAACACCCCAAAAGAGATGGGAGAAAGAGCATTTCTAAAAATAACACGGATAGGCCTACAATCATTTACATAAAAAGTTTCACTGGTCTGAGTCCACCTGTCATAAAAATCATTAGACTTCCATTGACCCAACTATGACATTAATTTTTATACGCCTACATGGAAATGTGGACATATATTGCCGTCGCCCCTGTCCGTCGGTCCGTCAACATTTCTTGTGAACACAATAGAGACTACAGTTTTCAACTGATTTTAATGAAATTTGGTTTGATCATTTATATTGATAAGATCTCGGTCAAGTTCGAATTTGACGATCTTTCGATGAACGGTTTTTGAGTTATTGCCCTTGACTTAGCCAAAACGCGTCAAAATTTATTTGTGAACACAATGGAGACTACAGTTTTCAACTGGTTGTAATGAAATTCGGTGTGATCATTTATATTGATGAGATCTTGGTCAAGTTCGAATTTGACGTTCTTTCGATGAACAGTTTTTGAGTTATTGCCCTTGACTTAGGAAAAACGCATCAAAATTTGTTTGTGAACACAATATAGACTACAGTTTTCAACTGATTTTAATGAAATTTGGTGTGATCATTTATATTGATGCGATAATTTGATGTATTTGGGTTATTGATATTAATATTAAATTATTTCATATTATTAATCATATTATTTAATATGAGAAAATTCATACTTTAGTCACTAAAGACTGTTTTATCATATTTGGCAACTGCCAGTGGGCGTATGTTACCTTGCCTTGCAAGCTATCTTAAATATTGGGTTTTATTCAATAGTATTTTGATAGTGGAAAAGCATCCATCGTAGAAGTCCCAATATTAATTGCAATCATTCATTTATACCTTATCAACTCAGTATCACATTTGGTAATTCTCATTTAATCTGTTTTATTATAAATACGGAATGTTATGTTTATGGGCATCTTGGATTGACCAGATCGCCTATACAGACGGACAACGACGATGTATTGTAAATATTGTAACCAGTTATTATTAAACAGTTTCAAGTTATTTTCATAGTTTTAGTGTAATTCCTCACTACCACAGTATTATTGCAGGCCCGATATATATTTGCTTCAGGCTGTACACGTTAAATATCCCTATTTGGAAAAAGAGTAGATCAATGCCACTGTCTTAGCAAAATTTCCCCCATTGTACACTGCATGGTGTTAGAGTAGGAATTCAATTCAATTCATTTCTATTCAATTATATTAGTAGCTTAAGCTAAGCATAGATTATTTTTAGACCTAGTACTTGATCGATGAGATGACTAATAGGCTAATCTAATATTGTCGCCTAGCCTTATTTTATGTTTGACAGACGTTTAAAGATGTTGTTCACAATTTACCGATGTTTTAAAAAGGTAATTTATGCTAATTCAATTTCTTTCAAACATTTTAGTTTGGTAAAAAGATCTCGGATGCTTTTCATGCAAGGGAATACCTGAAACGTAAATATGTAAGTCATTGAATATTATAATTATTTTAGTGTTCATATATTAACCTAAATTATGGTCAAATCATGCTAATGAAATGAAATGAAAGGCCTTACGTAAGTTTATGTTTTACTTTTCCAGGCTGAAGAAGAATCGGTCAAACAGAAGGCTAAAAAGTTACATTGGGGGTTTGTTTTCACTATATTCTTTTTGAATCCAATATTGTCAGTTTAAAATTGTAATGTGTATTATGCCTTTAATTCGACTGTTAAGGTTAAGTAGACGTTGGCTGCCAGGGAACGCTTATATTTTTATACGCCCACACGTAAGATGGGCGTATATTGTAACCACCCCGTCGGTCCGTCCGTTCACATTTGGCTCGTGCTCACTCTACAGGCTACAGTTCTTTATGGATTCTTTTGATTTTTATTTTGTGTGTCAATGTCATTATGAAGATGATCCCTATTGATTTTCGTGATGATCGGATAATTTTTCACCGAAATATTGTGTCTGACTTGACGTTTTACTCTATTAGCTATATTGTGCAACTCGTGCTCACTCTACAGGCTACAATTCTTTACAGATTCTTTTGATTTTTATTTTGTATGTCATTATGAAGATGATCCCTATCGATTTTCGCGATGATCGGATAATATTTCACCGAAATATCGTGTCTGACTTGACGTTTCACTCTATTAGCTATATTGTGCAACCCTGTAGTCACTAAAGACTGTTTAATCATTTCTGACAGCTGCCAGTGGGCGTATGTTACCTTGCCTGGCAAGCTATCTTTCATTATTGAATTACAGGTTTCAAGAAAAGCAACGATGGGAAACAAAAGGCAATATGTGATGAGATTTGCTACAGCTCTACCATTATAAATTCTATATAAGATCGAAAGCACCGATAAGATCCTAGTTTCTATTCAGAGAAAGAACTTGATGAGCAGAAAGATAAAATAAAGAAGATTATAGTTTGACATGAAAAGGTTTGCGACCTAAAATAAGAAGAGAATAGTTTGAAATGTAATTTAAATTGGATTGGATTGGATGGATTGGGACAATATATTATGCATAAATTGAAATGAAATGAATGACAGGTAAACGCTCAAGAACAGATATGTAACAGTTTGAAATGAAATGAGTGAAAGTAGTTGGCCGACAGAAAGGAGACAGACTGAAACAATTTAATCATATTTTGAAATGAAATTAACTAAACAATAAGTATTTTATATAAGACGTGTGTCGAAAAATATCTAATTCTATGTAATCAACATGGACATTACGAGAAGTAGTGATCATAAGGCAGATTTGTTTCGGAATGAATATGTTTCAGTTACTGATGCAGACCGGATAGGCGTTTTTAATTTCCTATGTTTGCTGTTCTTATGAACCAAGTGTCGCATCAAGTATTGGATCGTTTGGGAGAACCCTCTCAGTCGCCCCGTGAGAAGATAGCGATTACGACACCTCGACAGAGTCGCCGCATTTTGAATTCAGCCTCGATATTGTCCCTCCATTATGTCAGTCTTGAGAGTCTAGCGCCGCCACTGGCTGGCTCAAGATTTAAAGATAGTTTGCTAGGCAAGGTAACATACGCCCACTACCAGCTTTCAGAAATGATAACAAAATCTTTAATGGCTTAATGATGAATTTTCAAATAATCTTAAAATCTTCCATAAGTCAAGGCAAAAACCTGAAACAGTTCATCAAGTTATCATCAAATTCAAACACGAATCGCTGTACACACAAGGGCACTAACTCTGAAACTTTTCATCATCCGAATATGACCAATTTCGAACTTGTCTGAGATCTCATCAATATATATATGAATATCTAGTTCAAGATCAGATAAAAAAACTGTAGTCTCTCTCGTGCCTACAAGTCAAATTTGACACGTTTTACTAAGTCAAGGGCAATAACTCTGAAACCTTTCATCCGATTATTACCGATTCTGAACTTGACCGAGATCTCATCAATATTTAGATGCATACCAAGTATCATCAAGATCGGATACAAACTGTAGTCTTTATCATGCCTACAAGCCAAATTGACGAGTTTTTACTAAATCAAGGGCAATAACTCTGAAACAATTCATCCGATTATTACCAATTTCGAACTTGACTGAGATCTCATCAATACATACATGCAAACCAAATCTTCATGAAGATTGGATAAAAACTGTACTCTCTATCGTGCCTACAAGGCAAAATTGACGCGTTTTTACTAAATCAAGGGCAATAACTCTGAAACAATTCATTCGATTATTACCAATTTCGAACTTGTCCGAGATCTCATCAAGATAAATTATAACTTTTTTGTATTAAATATGTGTAAAAATGCGCATTAGTCATGTTTATGTTTAGAATAGGAATAAGTGTTGGCAGTGTTAATGATTTAAGAACTTAGTCAATTTATTGTCCTGATAGAAATTAGTATATTTGTATGACGCTTAGGTTATTTCCCTCAATTTGGCGGCAAATCCTCTTGCTTTTCATGAATATTAATGAGCCCAAGTCCAAATGTGGTCATGTATTATGTCATTCACGCTGGTGTCTGTAATTCGCCAATTTGCCAACTTCCATTCTCTTCCATAATCTTATTATGTAAACATTGTCATAAGGATTCCGTATTTTATGCTTTATTAAAAGAAATTTTTGTTGAAATTGACTGTGTTATATGTCTCTCTTCCACAGATACAACCAGAGTCCAACCAAACCTTCTTATTCCATAAATATATATTTTTTTTGTATAACAATTAAGGTATCTTCATTATCACATCAGCGCAACATAGCCTACTGTCAAAACACTACCGGTCGCCTGCCATACAATAGAAGAGATTTGTGTCAGTGTTAAGGTGAAATGAGAGTCATAGAAAGCACGGTCCAAGCAAGGACTATTCATTTACACGTGCTGGTTAGTTAGTGATTAGGGTGGTTGAAAGGTAACAAGTTACTATCCGACAGAAGACACTGGCACAGGGTTAAAACAATGTTCGTGAATGTTAAGGTTGATATGTTAAAATGGAAATTCGCTACTCGTAGTCCAAAGATCTAAAAAAAAAAAAACATAAGATTATAATAATATATTATTAAAAAAACTGATATGAAGATTTGGGAATTCCCTCTTTGACGTCATTTTCGCGCAAGCACTGGCTGGCCGTCAGTTGACGCGGCCATGCATATTTTGCTATCGGTAAGTCATATCTGAAAACGTATCAGCTTTTGTGAAAAGCACAGTGGTCTCGGAGTATTGATACAAGTTGCAGTCTGACATAGATTTAAAAGCTCTCCTAATCCGAATAAAATCACTTCTAAGCAATGGAATCAATTGAAACGCGAACTTGTCTAAACTTGCGAACCCGCCATCTCAACTTCTTTATTTGTCCCTTTCGAATGTATAAAATTTACTCCTCAAAGCATATTGCACATAGTTAAACCATTTTCACCAATCGGCCATATTAGCAAAAGATTTGGCCGAATTTTTTTTTCTGCGAAAATAGGCTATAAATACTTTGAATACTGTTGTGTCGAAAAGTCCATGCTGATTTTGGCCGTTAATGTAATAGTATCCAAGTTTTCTAATTTTTTCAATAAAGTCATTAGTATCCTTCAGATATGATGGATGTTGGCAAGCCAAAGGCAATAAAAAATGGTCATTATATATTCTGAAATCCGGTACGACATTTTGAAATTTGTTTTAACAAAATATTGTACACTACATGCACCTCATTACCCACCAGTGGTTTCCAACCTTCTTCAACCTTCACACCACAACCTCTCGCACACAGTTCTTTAGTTACTAAAATACTTTTTATTTTAATTAGATAAATGTTTAAAAAAATCTTTTTCAATCAATAGCCCAAAAACTCTTCATCGAATTCTCATCAATATAAATGGCAGCACCAAATTTCATTAAAATCAGAAAAAATCTATTGTGCTCACCAACAAATGAAGACCTGTTTATACTAAGTCATAGGCATTACTCAAAAACTGTTCATCGAAAAATCGTCAAATTTGAATTTGACTAAAATCCCTTTATTACAAATGATCACACCAAATTTCATTAAATTGGGACGACGGCTGTAGTCTATCGTGCTCATAAACAATTATTGATTCAAGGGCAATAACTCAAAAACCGTTCATCGAAAAATCTGCAAATTATTACCTGACCAAGATGTCATGATATTGGCTAGATCATCATACCAAATCCATTTAAAATGAGATAAAAACTGTGGTCTTGTCTCTTATAGTGCCCACAAGAAATGTCGGTGGATAGAGGCAACAGCAATGCACGTCAACAGTTTCACGTGAGCGTATAAAAATAACTTTAAAAAAATTAACATTGTATTTTGATATTATTGAAGATATTATGTCGAAAGTAGGTCAATGTGAAAACGATCATAGCTTAATTTATGTTAGATAAAATAAATAATGAAAGTAATGCTGCGACTGAAAATAAAAAAACCAAGTTGTGTAACAATCCGAACAGCAAAACGAAACCCTAAATCCTTTCTTGTCGAAAACATTTCCATTGGTAGCCTAGCTAGCAGCTAGTATTAGGCCAAATGAACTTTTCACATAAGGAAGTATATCAATCATAAATGAGTAAGTATTTAATAATGAAAAGTGGTATCAAGTGTCAAGACGAGTAAACATACCCTGCCTGGCGCCACACCCGACCGTCATTGCTGCTCAACATAGGCCTACACAATAAACAGATAGACAAACCATAAGACACTAACTTTTCTGATCAATTTCAATAGTTCAAGGGAGGTAACTGATGATGAACACATTTTAATTTAATTTAAGGGAGGGAACTGATCACAAAAGTTATTTTAAGACAAGAAAGATTGTTAGCCTACGTAAATGATATACTTGTAGTTGTCGAGTAGCTTAAATATGAAATTCCAAGAAAATATATACATTTACACAATAGGCCTAGTCTAATTATATCCCTTTCAACGGAGGAACTAGCTCCCACTTGTTGGTACACCCAAATGTAGGTAGTTAGGCCTACGTCTTGAAAATTAAGGAATGGAATGAATGAGGAAAATATTCACCGGTATCACAAATGTCGTTATATTGCCTCTATTCTTTAATTTGCTCGATTCTGAAACATCGATCGGTAAAAACCTTATCCAATACTTGTGCGGAATTGTGCGAAATTCAGCGTCGGTCAGTGAACCACAGTGAACACATTTTGTGGTATCCCCTCCGCCTTCAGTCGGTAGATAATAAAATACGCTTTAATAAATAGTGTATTTTTAAATAATAGAACATCAAAGTAGCCTTGGTGTAGGCTACACCAACAGAAATTCATAAATATTGTAATTACATGTACGTTGAACTATATAGCCTACTTTCAAATTAAACATGTTAAATAATTATATAAGTTGAGTTAGGCTACTTCCATTGATCTGGACAATATTCAGATAAGTTCAACAAGGTAAAATCTCAAAACAACGAGTTTGTTGTGTATTTGAAGTGGTGTTTCCCCCACATTTTGCCATGTACATACTAGTTGATTATTGATTAACAGACAGGGCTCATGTATTGGAGTAGCGGTTTCATGTACCATTACTGTCTAGAATCTTACATTTTTTATGTTAAATCTTTACGTAGACTAGAACACTTTTGTTGGAATAGAATTAAGATATGTTGTTTTCTACTCGTTTTGGTTGATACACAATACAAATGTCTCTGTTTTTGTATTTAACAAATATATTTTGAACACCACGAATAAAATGGTGAAAGTCTAACATTGCAACAATTAGTAATAATGATCCCAAAAATCCTATGGCAATACTTCCAACAACCTCGACAGAACTCCTGCTGTCTTCTGCTGAATATAATTTTCTCTTAAATGATGACAATGTAGTTGTATTAACAATAAGTTCTTTCTTAATTTCAGCAATTATTTCCGCTTCTTTAGTTCCGTTAGCTAATTCTACTGTTGCAAAACATTTACATGGACATAATATGTTGGATGGTATAACTGAAATAAAGTAGGGTTATATAATTTCAAATTGATCAAGCACGCCACCCTCGATGTTTATGGCTAAGATGAAAGTAACATTTTTGATGCAATATATTAACAGAGATGATCGGTCTATTATGGTGGTTTTGTGAGAAAAAACAATATCAAACTTGCCTGGTTTTGGGTACACTACAGGCATTGCTGTTGAAATTGCCCCTGACGTTGTTGTCTCAGAGGTCGACGTTAGTGTAGAAGTCGATATGGTGATAACTTCATAAGTCGATGTAGGGATTATATCGGATGTCATTGTAGAGATTTCATCGGACGTCGATGTAGAGATTTCATCGGACGTCGATGAAGGAATTACATCAGACATGGACATAGAAATGTCTTCAAACGTCGGTGCAGAATAAGACTCAGATGCCGATGTAAAATTAACCTCAGTAGCGAGGGTAGATCCTACAGTTGAAGGCAAAATACTTTCGGTTACCATCGGTGTCTGAAATATAAATAAAATGTCTTAATTTAATTATTTAGCTAATTACAAAGAAAAAAACTAAAAATGGACCAATTAAAAGGGTTGAAAATGCAAAATCTTTAAGTAAAACCATTTCAAAATCCAATTGAAACTGAAGTGTCTGCATCGCTTTTGCAACGTTTGAAAAGTAAAAAATGTCATCAGAATATATAAACTTCACCAATTATGGATCAAAATTAAGGCTTCTGTCATGTTCATAAGATAATTTTGGTAAAGTCATCGGCAACAACTAAAATCGTTTATCGAAAATCGTAAAATTCGAAGCCATTTGAGATCTAATCAAAATATATGTAATTCCGGTTTCACCAATATGTTTTCAACGGAATCTGAACCGAAACTGACAGGGGCGACGACAAAATAGTCCATAAATTGATACATCTATTATGAAATTAAATGGAATTTTACGTCATGCTCTTCTGCTTCCATTTGGGCTCTGGAATAAGGGACGTGATGGGGGATATTCGTTAAGACGATGACATATAGGGTCGATATTAACGATTATGATTATTTTTTTCTTTTGGAGTTTATTATCCAATAATGTAGGCCTACAGATTTTGTTTTTGTTCAGGAAGGTATAGTCGGTAAGTCATCCGAATCATACCTGATTAGCTATATCAAATATTGTTGTAATCACGCTACTATAATCTATTATAGAGGTTGCAATATATTCAGTAGAATCAGGAAATAATGATGTCGTTATATTGATAACTTCTGTACAATTAGTTTCCGGATAGTTCAATTTATTCACTGGTACTATCTCGTCTCCGGAAACATAATCTGAAATGAAAAGAGTAATATATTCATCATGGTATTATACCTTAGGCTGGTAAACAAATAATACATGTACATTGAACACTAATACTAATCGAAAATTTGCCTGTCAATCAGTTTATACGCTGGTGGACACCGATAAGATTGGTCATTCAACAAACTCATTTTAGGCACCTCTTTTAGAGATTGACAAGACCTAGATGAAAGTTGGATGTTACCGCTGACATATTTTGGTGAATCCATAGGAATATGATGTAAAAATGTCAAGGCTTTCCGCATTATAAGGCGTCGGGAGCCTCAACCAGTTAAATAAAAGATAGCTTGCCAGGTAAGGTAATATACGTCCACTGACAGTTTTGATTTTGAATAAAAATATTTGGCTGTACAGTAACAATCAACAGTATGAAATATTCAACTTCCGTCATACACTTTTTGGGGCGATACTGAAATATTACCAAGTTTTGTCAAAACCCGCAAAAATCGTACCTTTTAATGTTTACGTGAAAAGGTCAATGACTCCTATAAACATTTTTTATTTGTTGTTTTTCATTAGGGTTAATCCATAACATCGTTGATAATAAACAATTTCATCAAAAATTGATCGTGTTTTCAAAAACAATGACAATAACTCATACTAAATATTTTTGGATTTTTCGGATTATCAATTGGGTTCATCCTGGGGTGATTACAAACACTCACAGCAAGTTTCATCAAAATCTGTCAATAATTGTGACTTCTAGAGTGTTGGCGAACTAAAAATTGAACGCGTTTTCAACAACAAGGGCAATACTCATATTAAATATTTTTAGATGTTTCTGAATTTCACTAAGGTTCACTTGGGTGATGACAAACACTCACACCAAGTTTTGTCAAAATCTGTCAAGAATTGTGACTAATAGAGTGTTTAGTGTTTACGAGCTAAAATTGAACGCGTTTTCAAGAACAAGGGCGGTAACTCATACTAAGAATTTTTCGATTTTTCTGATTTCCAATACGGTTCATGCTTGAGAGATAAACACTCTTTTAATAATTTCGTCAAAATTCGTCAAAAATTGCGCCTTCTAGAGTGTTTACGACAAATTTTAGAACATGGACAATAACTCATACTAAATATTTTTCGATTCTTCTGATTTCCATAGGGTTCATCATTAGATGATTACAAAGAACCATACCAAATTTGGACAAAATTAGTCAAGAATTGTGCCTTCTATAGTAGGCCTATTTATCGACGGACCGACGGAAGGACATGGGTGACGACAATATATACCCCCATTTCATGTTGGCGTATTAAAATGACCACGTTTGGAATTTAAATTTAAACATATTCTATAAGAATTACTCACAATCGTAACATCTCTTAACGTAGGTAATAAATGTTGGCGAGGGAAATGATGGTGGTGTTCCTTCTAATCTGACAACAGGTTGATCTAAAAGTCGACAAACACCAGTGGTATTTTCAAAGCTTATCATGATACACTCAGTTGTGTCACTGCCAAACCCCAAGCAACTGTTTTGACAGGTCTTTAAGGAATGGCCACCATATCCTATTAATCTATCAGTTTCAGAAAATCTTACTTCCACAAATTCTTCAAACCAACATTTGTCGACAACTAAGAATAAGAAAATACTTGTGGAAATGATAACAATGTTTGAGAGCAAAAACAATGATAGAGGATCACTTCCATATACACCTACTTCGTCATGCGGAGCTCTAGCGTTTACAATATTAGAAATATTCGGTATATCGCTTGTCTTCATTTTGAGTAAACCCAAAATGACTCTTTTTGTAATATATTTCATGTGCCTAATCTGAACACTGGCAATGTAAAACAAATCAACTTATCAAAAATTAAAATAAGTTGACGATTAAATACGTCCCTACTTGTTTTAACATTAAAAGATAAAGACTTCAGATTTCTTAAAGAGACATTAGTTTGTCATACTTCAAAACAAAAAAAAAATACCTGTCTTCTCCTCACAAATTACTTGAAATTCTTCATCACAAGAAAAAGTTTGCCATTTAAAGTTGGTGATATTGAACCCGACACACATACCATTACCATTAGGTTCAGACACATCCCAGTTAGAATACCCTAATGCTTCACAATCCGACCATTCAAATTCAGCATAATTGGTTTCAATCAAACTAATCCAAAAATTGTTCACTCTATAAATACCAATAAGGAATTTAAAAGAAATAACTACTCAAATTCTGTATCACTTTAAAGCAGAAGTGTAAATTTGTGTCACGTTCCAAAGTTTATTTAATCAGATTCAATTTAGTTACAATCAGAGCCTGTACACCAAAAGCCGCTATGTTTACAATCTATGTTGAGGGCCCTGATTGACTTTATTCGTTATCGTACAACCCGATCAAATCATCGCCACATTCAGTGAGAGAAGAAAAGGGTCCAATGAAGTCAAGATATTAAGCGTAGTTCGTGAAAGCTTGACATTAAAAGTTCCTTTGTTGTAATGGCAACCATTTGCTTGTGATGTAAAATTATCGTCACTCTACTAAATTGAGTGGTAAAATAAAAACAATTGTATTGTTTAAAAAGGTAACAATTATTTGAATACCTACAAATGTGACAAGGAGATCCACTTCTTAGCAATATCTATGGTTATGTTGTTTTTAGACACTGATTTTAGAGATAACATTGCTTTATTGTGTTTCAGACAAACTTCATTTGCTTCATTCCATGTGTGTTTACTGGTATACAAACTAAAATTTAATGGTCGTGTAGACTCACATACTGTTATAGCTGAAATGACAAAACTTACGTTAGAAAGCAAATCTTTCTTGGTCCATTAGAATTGGTAGCTTTCATTGGTGAAAAGTCACCTAGACCTTTAAAATCTGGTTCATCTGGTCGCTTTCCTTCCAGTGCATTTATTTGCACTGAAAAGTTTTCTTTTAATATATTTGTAAGTGTATAATGGTCGTGGTTTCGACCACAACTGAGATCAAGAGATAATCTCCAATATGAGGTCTTGATAAAGTAAAATACAGTACTTTAAGCTCAATACAGGATGTTTGAATATCGGGTTGTACTTTAATCAATAGAAAAAATGGAAATTAGGTTAAATTTATTGATTAATAGATTTAAAATTTTCAAGAATCGGTATAGAAAAACAATCTTACGGCGAAAATTCTTAAGTGTCAAATTTAACATAAGAGGTAATGAAAGTAAGTATCAGCTAGATTAGCCGATGTGATGTGATCTGTACGACATCCACCAATAATAATTATCAGAGGTAAGGTATAGAATCAGTAAGTATCAGATTAGCCTATGTATAAGTGTCATCTGTACGACATCCACCAATAATAACTATCAGAGGTAAGGTATAGAATCAGTAAGTATCATATTAGCCGATGTGGTGTGATCTGTACGACATCTACCAATAATAATTATCAGAGGTAAGGTATAGAATCAGTAAGTTTTAGATTAGCCGATGTGGTTTCATCTGTACGACATCCGCCAATAATAACTATCAGAGGTAAGGTATAGAATCAGTAAGTATCATATTAGCCGATGTGGTGTGATCTGTACGACATCCGCCAATAATAACTATCAGAGGTAAGGTATAGAATCAGTAAGTATCATATTAGCCGATGTGGTGTGATCTGTACGACATCCACCAATAATAACTATCAGAGGTAAGGTATAGAATCAGTAAGTATCAGATTAGCCTATGTGGTTTCATCTGTACGACATCCGCCAATAATAACTATCAGAGGTAAGGTATAGAATCAGTAAGTATCATATTAGCCGATGTGGTGTGATCTGTACGACATCCACCAATAATAACTATCAGAGGTAAGGTATAGAATAAGTAAGTATCGGATTAGCCTATGTGGTGTGATCTGTACGACAGATTAGCCTATGTATAAGTGTCATCTGTACGACATCCACCAATAATAACTATCAGAGGTAAGGTATAGAATCAGTAAGTATCATATTAGCCTATGTGGTTTCATCTGTACGACATCCGCCAATAATAACTATCAGAGGTAAGGTATAGAATCAGTAAGTATCGGATTAGCCTATGTGGTGTGATCTGTACGACATCCACCAATAATAACTATCAGAGGTAAGTTATAGAATCAGTAAGTATCGGATTAGCCTATGTGGTGTGATCTGTACGACATCCGCCAATAATAACTATCAGAGGTATGGTATAGAATCGGTAAGTATCATATTAGCCGATGTGGTGTGATCTGTACGACATCCGCCAATAATAACTATCAGAGGTAAGGTATAGAATCAGTAAGTATCAGATTAGCCTATGTAGTGTCATCTGTACGACACCCGCAATAATAACTATCAGAGGTAAGGTATAGAATCAGTAAGTATCGGATTAGCCTATGTGGTGTGATCTGTACGACATCCACCAAAAATAAGTATTAAATAAGCCGATGTATTGTCAAGTCATTGTATACTCACCAATTTGTATGATAAAACACACTCTGTATGAATGAAAACCCTGAAAATGAAATTATAAAATGACATTTTTTTCATTATGTTTGGATAAAATGAAGTTTATCTTAGAAGGTATTGTATGATTTAAAGGGAAAGGTGGACCATTTGAGTCTTGAAAATATATTATTTTCGGGGGTTGATTTGAGTCTTGAAAATATGTAAATAGTCTTCAGAAGTACTAGAAATGTACGAATATCTTCAAAAATATCTCATACTAGGAATTTTCCCAGAATTTCTATATATCACAGAGTATTTGATCATTCAAACGCGATATTTCTGGACACACATGGATGTTAAGGCTCAAATTTCGACAGTGAGCTGTGAACGCTGTGAATTTGCATAGATTAAAAAAATCCTGTTTCAAAGACTAAGGTACGATTGGTTAGAAAGAATGGTGCATCTGTCCCTTTATTAATTAAATAATTAATATTATAGCTTGATGTACTTTTGCATAGGGAAATCCATTGAAGCACAAGCATTGTGTTTTGTTACAGGTATTTTTAAAAGATGTTGACGAATCATCTAAAAATAATTTCAACAAATATGCCAACTGTCGCTTCTTAGGTTCTTCTAATTTCTAAATCTTGTCTAAATGAGGATTACTTCATAATGCACTATTTCTGGCATCCTTTTAATTGAATTACTCTCATATCGCTATAATTTCTTATTTCCTTGGTAATTGTTTCAATTGTCGACGAAACTATACTGGACTTAATCATTGCAGTGATATTGGTAGAATTGTCATAATAGATCATAGAGGTTCACATAAGGTATTGAAACAATCAAATCTGGATCTCAACATTTTGGAATCAAACAAATTCTCTGTATTAAGATGCTTTTAGCATCAAATAAGTATATTTTCACATTTTATATTTCTGATTTGTTTTATATTAAAAACCGAGATATTGTCATAAATAATTTTTGCGCAATCTTTATGATATCATGTAGTATATTATGTTAGCCAATAGTTGCTGGTAGACCTAATATTTCTTCATTTCGTCGATAAAAATAAAATACCCGCATCGCTTTCAGAGAAAAATTTAACACCGGCTTCGTCAGTTAGATTAAAACTTATCAAGCTAAATTGATGGCAATCTTAGTTTTCATAGAAAAATACCTCATCCCAGCAAAAATCCAATCTTTATTAAGTTCACAAATACGCTGAAAATAGTTATAAATTGGCCACATATCTTGACAACCAGAATAAACAAAATTTAAACTTTGTCTAACAAATTTCAGTGTGATATTCACATTTTAGTTTTAAAGTGAAACATCCATCCATGTAAAGCCATTTCACTGATTTGTGGAAAATATGGTTAAAACCTGCCATAATGGCATTTAACCACAATGACAAACATCTATATTTTAAAAAACTGAAAATGACATCCATCCACATATATGATATGCTGACTAATTTGAGGAAATACCGGTTATAAAACTTACCATTTTAATACTCAAATTGATCACATTTTAATGCTACAAGAATCCATTTCACTATCCATATATTGTCATATTTCCATGTTAACGAAAATAGATCAGACATTCATCTCCTTATAAAATTCACCGATTTATGCCAGATATGATAGATTTGCTGTGATTTTAAGTGAACTAAAATATCGTGATGGAAACTAATTACTCTTCTGACTTGTGATAATCAAAATGCTGTAGTTCGATCACAAGATTTATTGACTATTTATGAGGTTTGAACGCAATGACTTATAGTCTGTATTTCAATGCAGTCTGTCGTCAATGAAAGGAGAAATAAAAAGCAATGAAAAGAAAATGAGAATTAATCAGTGTCGATGTCGGAGTGAACCAACAAATAAAAAAATAACATCAATCAATGCCATGTTATTTGAAATAAAATCACGGAAATACATGGAATGTAAGGAAATGTTAACCAGACTATAATATGTTTTACAAGCTCACACAAGCACATAGTAGGTTGCTGAATTTTGAGATCGAATAGACAAGACGCAGAATTAACGTGTGTACGTTTCCTGCGACAATATCAAGGTATGTAAATTACGCATGCAATTTGGGAGAATGGTGTGATCTATAACATTTAAATCTTGAGCTATAGATTTCATTTTGGTCTTCTGCCATTCAAATTGACAACAGATAACCTAACCAAACCAAACCAACGACTAACAGTAGACTACTATCTAAAAAGAATTACCACGATCATAACGAATTTTGAAAGAATGTGGAAGATTGAGTAACTCACGCAACAACATAAAGAGCCAAGATGTGCCGACCAGATCTGAAGATTTCTCAACCGACAAACCAACAGTGCCAAACCATCCAATTGATCCAGACCCAACTACCAACTACAACGACCGACTACCACCAACTAGCGTCTGCGATGTTGTGATCTACAAACCAACAAACGTGACATTTCGATTCATTTCAAATTTCCACCGATTTGATTACCCTGAGTTGCAAGTTCGTGAAAAAGATGGTTAGTTTCCTATGGTATATAGTAGCTTTAGGCCTTCTACAGTACATTGTGACCGAATTAAATTTTATTAAATAAGGTTGTAAATTAACAACAAACAAAAATCTCAAATTTATCACATATGCTTAGATTAAATTAATGAAAACTTAATTACTGGTTGCTTTCTTGAACAATACCAAAAGTTGGTATAAATGAGTCAAAGAATAGAGATTGTAAGCTGTTAGATTACATTACAATGACATGAAACAGTCTTCTATCATCATATAATGTAATAATCAATTATTAGTCAACATTAATCACAGCTTTTTATCTCCATTTTATCAGGTATTATAATCCTATCATATGATACGATATTATATGAAATTGACCTACTTGGGTTTCTAGTTTACTTAATATTGTATCTTAATCTCATCGTCTGGAAGATGCTCTTTCACAGAATACACTAAATGTGTTTGAGTTTGAGCCCACATTGAAATATGGAGGTATATTGCCGTCGCCCCTGTCCGTAGATCCATCGGTCGGTCCATCGGTCCGTCCGTCAGTCCGTTCGCATTTCTTGTAGGCTACAGTTATTATCCAATCTTAATAAAACTTGGTATGCATGTATATATTGATCAGATCTCGGTCAGGTTCGAAATTGGTAATAATTGGATGACTGGTTTCAGAGTTATTGCCCCTGACGTAGTAAAAACACGTCAAATTTGGCTTGTAGGCACAATAGAGACTACAGTTTTTATCTGATCTTGATGAAACTTGGTATGCATGTATATATTGATGAGATCTCAGTCAATTTCGAAATTCGTAATTATTGGATGAAAGGTTTCTGAGTTATTGCCTTTGACTTAGAAAAAACACGTCAAATTTGCCCTGTAGGCATGTATGTATTGATGAGATCTTGGTCAAGATCGAAATTAGTAACAATCGCATGAACGGTTTCAGAGTTATAGCCCTTGACTTAGTAAAACGCGTCAAATGTGGCTTGTAGGCACGATAGAGACTATAGTTTTTATCTGATCTTGATGAAACTTGGTATGCATGTATGTATTGATGAGATCTTGGTTTAGTTGAACGGTTGCAGAGTAATTGCATTTGTCTTAATAAAAAACGCGTTAAATTTCTCTTGTATGCATGATAAAGGCTAAGATTTTTATTTGATCTTGATGAAACTTAGTGTGCTTGGAGATATTGATAAGATCTCAGTCTAGTTCGAAATTGGTACCAATCGGATGGATGGTTTTAGAGTTAATGCCCTTGACTTAGTAAAAATGCATTAAATTTGCCTTGTTTGCACGATAAAGGCTACAATTTTGATCTCATCTTGATGAAACTTAGTGTGTATGTATATATTGATGAGATCTCGGTCAGTTTTGAAATTGGTAATAATTGGATGAATGATTTCAGGTTATTGCCCTTGACGTAGTAAAACCATGTCAAATTTGGTTGTAGGCACGATATAAACTACAGTTTTTATCCGATCTTAATGAAACGTGGTATGCGTGTATATGTTGATAAGATCAAGTTTGAATTTGGTCATATTCGGATGAATGGTTTTGGAGTTATTGCCCTTGAATTAGTAAAAGCGCTTCAAATTTTGCTTGTAGTGATGATACATGGTGCAGTTTTTATCCGATCTCAATGAAACTTGGTATGCATGTATATATTGATGAGATCTCAAATTATGGAGTTATGACCCTTGAATTAATTTAATGCGTCTAATTTGGCTTGTAGGCCTAATAGAGACTACATTTTTGATGAAACTTGGTATGAGACCAATTAGTAACAATCGGATGATTGGTTTCACATATTAAACCACTACAGACTTTGTTATCATTTCTGACAGCTGGTAGTGGGCTTATGTTATTACCTTGACTGGCAAGCTATCTTTATTTGAATTATTTAATATTTTGCGTAATATCAATCTGCCTCTATCTCAACTTGCATTTTTGAGAGGTATAATTTCAGCAAATCGCAAAAAAGCTGAGAATCAAAGTCCTTTTTCCAAAGCGCTTCGGTCACTCTTCTTTGCAGGTTGTCGAGACTTGATATGCCATCGTTTTTGACTGTGCGCTCGTCTACATGATCCTTCAAGAACACATACATTAAGGCCAGGAGAGGTACCCGGAAATGCGCTTGACGAGAAGAAATCGACACCACTGTCCAAAAAGAAAACAACCTTTAATCATAGTGCCTTATCATGCAAAACATCAATAGATTACATATTTTCAAGAGTAACGAAATACTTTGAAAGTGAACACTGGTGTTATATCAAGTCTAAACAATCTTCGAACGGTGAATATAAATTATACTGCTCAGGAAAATGGAGTGTGATATTCATCATTTTGCAATTTGTATCTCTCAAGACGTGGTACAGGCGTATTGAGGCCAGACCCAAATATTAGGAGAGAAACTTACATAAATTTCTTTTCTGAAACACTTTTATTTTTGTCAATATCAATTTTTAGTATTTGGAGTAGGGAGCTCTAATACAATATACATATATTCAAATGATATAGAAATTATAGACACAGCGGGTTGAAAAAAAAAACAGGTAGAATTTTAGACATGTTTGAACTATCCGTAAAATTGTATGATGAAATAGATTTTAAATTTTGATATTTGAACTTCTTTATCAGCTGTCCTTATATTAATATAATATCACTGTCACCACACCATCATTTTTATGACAAATGCCACCACCGTCATAAAGTTTACAAATCATTTTCATATAAAGTGAGATATCTGAGATTGCCCAAATCTTTAACCTAGTTAAAAAAAACCAAAAAAACCTTGCTTTCGAAGCTGCAACACAAGACAAGACACAATTCTTGACGGATTTTGACAAAACTTGGTGTGGGTGTTGGTAATCACCAAAGGATGAACCCTATTGAAAATCAGGCGAATCGGAAAATATTTAGTTTGAGTTATTCCCCTTTTTCTTGCGAACGCGTTCAATTTTTACCTCGTAAACACCCTAGAAGGTACAATTCTTGACCGATTATTGTCTGAGTATTTGTTATCACCTAAGGACAACCCCTATTGAAAATCAGAAAAATCGGAAAAGATTTTGGAATTTTGCTCTTGAAAATAATAAAATTTTTAGCTCGTAAACACTCTAGAAGGCACAATTCTCGACAGAATTTGACGAACTTTGTGTGAGTGTTTGTAATCTCCCAAGGTGGAACCCTATTGAAAATCAGAAAAATTATAAAATATTTAGTACGAGTTATTGCCAATGTTCTTGGAAACTCGTTCAATTTCTAGCTTGCAAACACTCTAGAAGGCACAATTCGTGATGAATTTTAAAGAAACTTGGTGAAATTGATTATTATCACCCAAGGATGAACCCTATCGAAAATAAAAAAAGCCCAAAAATGTTTTATAGGAGTTATTAACCTCGCTTTTGAAATCGTTTTCAAATTTCAGCTGACACACATCTTGCCGGATTTTGACTTGATTTTATTATTCAGTATCGCCCTAAAAAGTTCAAAAGAAGTGTATGACTGAAGGTTGAATATTTCATACTGGTGATTGTTACTGTACTGCCAAATATTTTATTCAAAATCAAAGCTGTCAGTGGGCGTATATTACCTTGCCTGGCAAGCCATCTTTGTAACAGAATTGTAACTTTGTAGCCGGTTGCCGACAATTCAATCTAATTCATGTAATGTATAGGTTTTCATGATATCTAAAAATCCAGCTACACGGGGGACTTACCACGTGCTAAAGTTAGTGATCTAGGGGCCGCATTTTACAGAATCCAATTTACAATTCAACGACTCAAAAAACAATAAATAATAATGAAATAAGGGACGCAACTCATATCTTCAATATTCAGTCAGTTTATCAACAAGTGAGCTAGACTTACTATATGTAAAACATTGTAAGTTTGCGTTCACAACTCAGCTAAGGAATCCATCTCACTATCATGGTATGGAAGAGGGTGTTGAACGTGCTAAGGAGATGCTCGAAAGTAGGTGATGACACCCGAAGCAAATTACATCTCAAAATGTAAGACATTGTCCAGTGGAGTTAACCGATGTACACTATAGGCTAGTCTATAATGTTTATGATTCCACAACATTGTCTGGAAGAGACGTTTTCTGGCATAGGGGTGCAACTCGTATATGCAAATTTTGTCAATTAAGCCTCGAAATAGACTTAATATTTGATAAGCCTTAAGGAGTCAAAATTGGGGTAGATAATTACCTCAGGATGGTATATGAGAAAAATCTCGCCAAAAGAAAGGGGTTAAATCTGTAACTATAATATGGGATAAACATTCGTCTCTTGTATGAAATCAATAACTACACTAGCGGTTTAGCACCATTTATTGGGCTTACGAAGAGGGAAATAATTATAAAAGAAAGAAAAGACCCTTTGACGGTGGTGATACCTCCGACCTGCATCATATAATACAAACACGGACATTGAACATCTTTAACATTATTTCAACATTTTTACACATTTTAATTACAAATGGAAGTTTAAATGGCACTGATGGTAGAAAAACATGAAATATACGATATTTATATATGTTTTAGAAAAAATACGAAAGAAATACGATTCAAAACAGATATTAAACAGTTACAACCATTGTTCGCGTACATAAAGTTATAATCGTTCCTGAGCACAAATCGTTGATCATCTGAAGTATCAAAAGTTCTTTATGAATATTTGTGTAAGATAAAAAATGGAATTCTCTCATACATAACATGACACAATAAACCAGTAACACATAATTACATTGTTACATCAACAAATAAATGGAATATAAAATAAGTCGTTGGAAAATATCATCTTTACCATACTGCAAAAATCTCTTTGGAATGTGTCTTGGGACGCGGTATACAAAGCACTTTGGACTAGTTTGTATACATTTTGTACCGTTTTCTCCCTTTAGCTTTACAATATTGGTCTAAAAAAAGATGTCAACCTTATAATCAGTGACTTCAACTTATTTGATGCAAACGTGAAATGCTTTGAGATTTTAAGGGAAAAGAAAAAACGTGGCTTAAAATTACCCCACTTAGAAACATCTATGTGATACATGATTCAGAATTAAAAATATATATGTATAGAATTGGTGTAAAGTGTAGAACATTGGGTTTTCTAAGACTTAACTTCCATTGCACATTTTAACAGAGTATCTATGTACAAAGATACGAAATATCAAATATAAAGTTACGAACCCAATTTCATCATTTACTAGAGTTTGATTTGTGTGATTGATTTGAGCGAATACTATCGTACATAGCACTTTGTGATCTCTTTTCTCTACTGTTGAGACTACTCCTCTCTGATTGTTCGTTATCCGGTATACCAAAGCACAATAAGGCATAGAATCCCTTTCTAAAATTCAAATTAAACCATCCATAAAATATTGGATTTAAAGACGACGAGCCCATAGCTAAAAGTAAACACCACGCGAATACCAAATTAAAATGTTTTTCGTCAAAGAAGTTGTGATCGAAGTCGGCAGCAATATTCAAAACTGTAAGTGGAAGCCACGTTGAAGCAAAAGTTATAGTAATGGCTGTTAAGAGAAATAAATTACGACGGTGTCTGCGCATATCCCGTACAGCGCGGTTCATTTCTGTTAAGGTAACAGGATTCTCTTCAATTCGAGCATGAAGGAAGTGACATATTCGTGCGTGAAGACAGCTGATAACTAGAGTTGGTGATAAATACTGTACCACCATTACAATGACACCAAATGTGCCTCGAAATGCTGTATTCGGCCAATTCTCTACACACATTGTAAAATCCATTACATCAACAGTTTCTACTTGGTGAAACAAAAGCATTGGTGTTGAGAAAAGTAGCGATACAATCCAAATACCAACAATAACATAAATATTTTTTCTACTCTTGCGTTTTTCTCTGGAGGCACGGACAATAGCATGATAACGGTCGATAGCAATAGCTAGAATTGTAAAGGTTGAGACGAATACATCAACTGTCTGCATGGAAGGAATTATACGACATAGAAATTCCCCCAATGGCCAGTTCTTTAAAGTTAATCTCACCAATGATAGAGGCATGCAGACTAAATCCATGAAAATATCACACACAGACAGATTAAGAATTAGTAAATTCCTTGAAGAACGTAATTCAGTATTTCTAAATATTACAATACACACTAACACATTACCAAATATACCACTACTAATGACCAAGCAATATGCTGCAATAAGAAGAGCTTCCATTCGTGGTTCGATCCAGTGGTCTGAGTTGATAAATTCAGACATAACTTTATGGTACAAGGTTAGATTATGGGTGTTAGATATACGGAGATGTGGCATGAATGAATGATAGCTGTTGTTGATGTTGGTGTCGCCTAACATGGCGTCTGTTGTAAAATCCAGTTCGTTTATTTGTGTCTGAAAAAAAAATAGATTAATCATATCGATATTTTTTTCTACTAATTCATTTTATTGTTTAATCACCCTTTTTAGCACTTCGTTAATAAAGAACTGTATTTGGTACAATAAAGGTTCTCTGTGTTATCCACACGTAAGCAATTTTTTTATCTGTTAGATTCGGTTATTGTTTGGCACTTTAGTTTGTCCTTTTTACATGAAAGTAAGGGTTTAAGCCGTTTTTATTTCAACGCTCACATATGTATCCTCATGATTTGCCCTGTGTGCCTTAAAACAACTTAAAAGCATAAAAGAAATTGCTAGCAAGGGAAATTTTGTATGGAATTTGAGCGGAAGCAAATGACAAATTGAAAGGAAATTTCATCTCAGCAAATGACTGAAAAACGGGGAAACGTGACATGTCTACATTTTTTTCAATCATTTTAAGAAACAATATGTCATACTGTCAGTGATAAAGTTCAACAACCAGATAAATGTGTTGATACATTATAAGTGTTTATTGTCTGGAAAGAGGTCATAATGAAATCAACTTCAATTGAAAACATACTCTCATCTACCTATGAAATATTAATGAGAACGTAAAGGGCACGTTGTTTGCATTAAACAATTGTTTTTGTCGTATACTTCTTTGTACTGATGGGAATCGATTGTTTGATTTTTTTTTTAGAAGTCATATTGCTGTTTGAGTGCTGTATCGTTCAATAAATACACCGATGATTTACTATTCAGGAACTGTCCCCACAATGGTTTCATGCTAAGTTATTGACGACTAAAGGAAACAGTTCTTAAAGAAGTAGTAAATCAGGTTTATTATAATGTAAATTTATTTCATTATCAATACTTTACTAAGATTGTAAAACTGAATTTATTTTATTTTATCATAACGCACCAAAAAGGTCAGCATACTATAAAACATGCCTTATTATATGGTAAAATGAAAATTAATATCAATTTTGTAAAGATTATGGCAAAAATTAAAAGGAAATATACGACGACAGACATAGGTTTCCGGACTGGCACCGATAGTAAGCATGGTGTAATGAATTCAAATACCAGTTTTGCATGTATGAAATGAAACAAATTGGTAATATTCTTAGTGTGTCACCAAAAATAGACAGACGATGAAAAACACATAGTCAAAAGAATTACTGGTAAATGTTTATATCCAATATGAGTTCTTCTAATTTGTGGGTTGACAGACCTTTTGAAATTCTCACAAAATTGTTAAATCTCATCATCGAACCACATATGAATTTTTCTTATGTGGATCCATGCAGCTATGTACAGTTATAACATGCAATTTCAAGTTTAATTTCAGCCAGAATGAACATTTTTCAAACGTGTTATATGTTACGGTAGTGACACGATAAAACATTAGATGGTTTAAATGTCATCAATTGAGAAGAGGAAACGTTCAGAAACTCTTTAGACGATGATATATAAGGTCTATTGATACTTGTAAGTTTACTTTTGTCCCTTTTCAACGTTGATTTAAGACCATTCAAGCAAATACTGATATATCATTCTGGAGAACTAGAAAGAATTGTCATTGCACTTTCCATAAAACGTAATAGTCTGGAATTAAATTTAAAATCACAATTTTAAGAAAATATGTTGTAATAGATTGTATTTGAGAAATTCTGAGTCATATTACAGTCATATCATTTAAATGACACATCGGGTGATATATTATCTTTAATCTGTAAATACACCAACGCAGCAATTGTATATTTCACAATCCTGTGAAATACCGAGGGATGTAATGAAATTCATTTGAATTGTCCACTAGGGAAGCGACAGTACTTGTTTCATTTTTGTCATTAAATATATATCTTTATTATTTTTATCCTAGTATATTATATACTTTACCATTTACCTTCATCTAATGGTAGATTCAAAACGAATTTAAGTCAAACAATGATTTATTCGGTTATTAAAATGATTTCTGTCAAAATAGTCACCTAAATAAAGACGGCTTTCCTAGTGCTGGCGAATCGAACTTTCTACAAATTTCATTACAGAATCATTACAAAAGAAATCTGAGAAAGTAAAGAACGTAAGGAAATGTAGCAGAACCCATATTACTAATTGTCCTACTGTTGAAACAAATAAACTTTGAATATATCGTGAATTGGGTCATATTGCAAAACATTGTTAGGACTGAGAACAAATAGGTGACGATGTGATAGCTTGAATTTTACAATTTACTGCATCCCTGTGGCTGTATGAGCAAATGTGCTACTGTTGAGATCTTAAGAAAATATCTACATTTACTCGTATTTAATTTGTAAGAATGATGAAAGTAACCTGGAGAAAAACGTAATTATCTTTAATATCTCCTTTTAGAAACTTGTCCATATTGCCGGAGGAATATCGTGTGTTAAAGTTCCTTTGATCATTAGCGAAAAAAAATACGCACAATCATAAACTATGTCGAGAGTCTCAACACAATAATTATACCGACCACAATGGAAATATTAACATGCTTGATTTAAAAATTTGCAAACGAGATATAGGCTAATGTAATTGTAAGTTGTAACGTTAACTATATATACATTTAATGGTAAAAACCCTTCTTATCACACAATAGTACTGTTCCCAGGTTCATAACACGGGTTCATAAACTCACTATGAACTCGTAGCACATGTTAATAACTATGCAAATTAGGTCATATATTCATGCGCCATGTATTCTCACCAACCTTGTTCCAAATATTTAGTGAACGTGTTTACGTAGATCATAGGTGCAAAAACGCTGACCTCAAAATGAACACAATCACCTTTTATAAAGAAATGGCGCTTGGAATTTAAGGAAAATATGCGTTAATTAATAGTTGTGTGATATTAGAATCGTTCACTCCTGCATGTAAAGAAGGCCAAGGCTCGGGAAATATATAGATCTAATCCGACAAGGAATTTGATAAATTTCATATGACTTGAGCACTCTTTTTATGAAACTCTTTCCGTTCGAAACCGTGTTAAATAGAATTTAGTGATGGTCGCACTGATGGATGTACGGATAATCGGCGACTTGACTTGATATTCACAAGAAGATACAGACTACAGAAATAAAAACCATTCCGGAAATGAAATCAGATAGCGATGTTTACATAGACCGAGACATTTAATATCCGTTTTTCTCGGTTCAAGACAATTACAATAAATGCGGAGTAAATAAGGAGTGTAGAGGCTCCATTAAATCATTTAGAACTTATTGAAGTTCAATCAATAGCATTTCAAATAAGACTCCAATGTTCGCAAATGTTATCCGACATTAAGATACAGTATCTCACCATATCTCATAGGTTGTATGAAGTACGGTGTATTATCAAACGATAATGATCAGCTTAACCACTAAGTAAATGTTAAATGCGATCCCGTTTGTTAAACGCTTATCATGCGTGGTAATATGACTGGGCGTATGTTTCTTGTCAAAGTGAGTTACAAATTACAATGCTCGAATGTATGCATGGAATCACGACACAAACACCTTAACACGGAATTGGTTTAATCTACACACGATAGACGACTTATTAGACATTTTTTACGCCCTCACGTGTCATCAGAACCAAGTTTATTTTCAAATTCACATGGAAACCACCCCATGCCACCATCTATCCAAAAATACCGAAAATCTGTCTATTATGGGCACGCAATAGATCACCCACGAAAAGCCTGTTCACTTTGTGTCATCCTGAATCGCGAGGATTGAATTTTAGAATCCTAGAATCAACTAAATAATTCTAAAAATTTCGCTATCTTGCAAGAATCTATTTTCTAAAAAAAAAACGCAAACATCCATTAGAAACCCATCTGGCTGTGGTAGTAATGCACTGCGGATGAACAGAGGTTTGCAACGATATAAATAACGGTTAGTAACTATCGACACGTACCTATCAATAGACTTACGTATTACTCTGTGACCTAGGCTAGTGCTTTCATTGATACTCGTCTCAATACACCCTAACGATAAACAACATCTCTGAAAGGTAAAGAAAAATCTCTGAAACGTACAGCCACTGAAGCCATGGCCCATACACAAAAAAAGTGCCTGATGAAGCGAGTTTTAGCAAAATAATTAAGGGATAGATCTTTGGATGTAACTACTTAAAAACTAAGTACGGATTAGTACAGTTTATAGGGACAAAAACGGATCTGCACAGACCAATACAAATTGCCACGAATGATGTCGGTACATTGATCACTTCTTACTACCACTAGCGTGCCAACACCGAGCATACTGATATTGTCAATCAAATTATAAACCCAGTTCTTCCAATTTCCATTGAAGTATCGATTATGTACACTAATATCGATAGCACTGCTAGGCAAATGGTAATCCATTAAGCATTTTACACTAACCCTGATACAAAGAATCTTGATGATATTTCTATAGCTCTTAGAAATAACCTCAGTCGTAAAGATTTTAGATTCATTGTTACATGTATGCAATCTTCTGGGATAACCATGGACATGCGGTTCGCCCCTTGATTTTTAAACTTTCATGGCAGTGTGAGAAAGTTATGTAATCTTTTTTCAAAGTGTGGACATATTCGACTGTTTCGGGAATTCCTTGAAATTCTCAATAACCATCCATCAAACTAACTGCCAACTTAAGTCACAAGAGGATAGATTTTTAAGATACCACTGTCTACAAAGGAGACTCCATAGAACTTACTAGATATTAATGTATATTTAAAAGAAATTGATAATCATCAACTCTCGCACAAGAGCTCATTTCATCCACAACATCTTGGTATAATTAAGTCACAAGTTTTTTACTATTTCATCGAATTAGCACAGGATTCAAATCAAGCTTTAGGTACTCGATTGTTGGCGGAGCTAAAACCGGAATTTATACCGAAATGCCTCAAGCTCTAAGGAGCGCTTTAAGTAATTTTAAGAAGAAAAGATACCCCATACTGTGGCATCGAAAAAATGATGTTTAAATGTAGATTGAATAAGAAATGCCCAAAACAATATGTATTATAAACGAAAAATAATTTACGCACTGATCAAATATCAAATTAATAAATGGCAAACCTGTTCATAATCATTTCAACTTGGCCGTTAATTCACCGGACGATCTTAAATCAAGCCCCGTTGAAAAAATTGTCAATATGTGAAAAACATTTTGTTTTTTTATTTGACAACTTTTCGAATTGATTTGAAATTGTTGATATTTTCATTGATTCCAGTTTGAGTTTGTGTTTTTTTATGGAATAAAATGTATTACCAAACTTGTTATCATATTGAAATATCTGCATCTACCGTATTGTAAAGCTGAAGAAAGTATTACTTACTTGAAAACAATGAAGTCTAAGGTTGAGATTACTTCTGACTTTGAAACAAATAAGTATGACAGTTTTAAGATGCCAACTTAAATATCGAATCTTTCACCACCTACATCAAGTGTTAGAAATAAAAAAAATATTGGATGGAAATATGCTGATATATAAACCCCATCCCCCGTATCCCCGTCCTTGGAAGTATACTGTCACGCGGTGTATCCATGGATACCAGAGTTTTTGTGATACAGTAGAATGTCGAAGAGAAGAGATAGTAATAACTGTCAATAATAAACGAGTGAGAGATTTGTAGTTAATCACCTGTCAACTGAATGGAAAATGACAGTACATTTTAAAAGCAACGATAATTATGTCTCTTTTATAAGTAAACTTCAATAAAAGCCATCCATTTGGCTAATACTGACAGACCGTGATGTATATTATTAACCGTATCAAAGCTTGGGAAGTCATAAAAATAATAGTGAAGAAGAATAAAATATATTGACAAATATCTGGAGAATATACCTCTATTATTTTTTTAATATTACATACTAATAAAATTGAAAGTTTCATGGTCGACATCGCGATATTGACAAATACTATATATATATATGTGACTTTCATCATTTCATTTTCATTAGCTCTTTTTTTATATACGGCTACATCTTTTATATTGGCCTACTTTCTATAAACATGTACTTTATTTATTTTGCAAGGTTACTTCCCTTGAGAATATTTTTCAGTTATAACTCAACATTTCCATAGCTTTTTCTTTTGCTCCTTCTGTATCTATACACAGCTCCAACGAAAAAGTCTGTTCTCGTCAAGTCTGGTTTCAGATACACCATAAGGCTACCAGTCTGACGACTCACATGGCATGACCCGGTCTATGCTGACTTCTTTGTCTGTTTAATTCCTTACAAATACCTGGACAGCATTGCGCAAGTGCTAATCCAGAGACGTCTCCCCAGGTCCTTAAACCAACATATAACTATAGCTCAGCTCAACATATTCTTAGACGGATGGGAAATAGAAAAGAAAATCGGTAAAATATAGACTTTAAATTGTTGACTCTTATTTCATCTTTGTAGCTAATGCGGAGAAAATTTCAAAACATTAGAAACATAAGAAAATAATGACCTAGCTCGAAGACATAATTTGTGAGATAAAGAAAATAAATATCATCATATAGAGAACTAGGCTCTTTTAACCGCGAAAGGTTAGCGGAAAGGTTAAATTGTGATTTTAACTCTGTAAACATCAACAAATCTTACATTATTAAATGCCATCGTGTGTTTGCAGATCGGCACAATTACGCACAAACAATACATGATCAAAATGGTTGCATTACAAGTGGGTCACGGGGGAGGGGGACATACCATCGAAATATCTGCCAAGATCCCATCATTATAAATATTCACACCAAATTTCATTGAAAATGGATAAAAACTGTAGTCTCTATTGTGTTCACAACCAAATTTTGACACGTTTTTATAAGTCAAAGGCAATAACTCAAAAACAGTTTATCGAAAAATCGTGAATATCGAACTTGTCCAAGATCAATATATTTGATAACACCAAATTTCATTCGAATCAGATGAAAACTGTAGTCTCGCGTTCACAAGCCAATTGTGGACATATGAATCGAAGAACGAACGGACATGGGTAACAATATACGTCCACATTATAATGTGGGCGTATAAAAAACGACGAAAGTAGCGGTGATGCCCAACAGTAAGTTATAGTCATCGTAAAGGTAATTTAATGTATGATTAAAACAAAACACACCAATAGATGTTAACAGCTATCAGAGGCTGAAATAGAGGCAGATGTTTTGAACTAAGAGGGCATGTGTCTTCCTCTGAAATTACTTGGAAAAAGTTTTTATTTACATCGAGCGAGATTGATTCTTTTGAGAGAATGAATAAAATTAAAAAATGATTCAGGTTCTATAATCTGGCTACCTAGTCGTTTGTCATCGGTTTTATCTGTTATCTCGGAGACATGTCTTGATCTAATTATTAAACAGCTGGAATTTGTCTGTAATATGACTTAGAAAGACTTTTGTTTCGACTGCCTGGAATATGTATGAAGACTCCACTTTTACTTGCTAAATGTGTGCCAATAAAACCACCAACCCAAAAACAAAGGGTTATGTACAGAAAAACGTTTTTACACGCATCACGTAAATTTATTCTGCAGTTGAAATTTCGATGTAATATTAGAGCATTTCTGATCTCTGATCTTTGAACTCCTGTCGAAAAAAAATCATTTTTACGTTATTATCCTTGACATATTGCCTTGTTTATTTACATATCTATTTTCCCTTCTATTCCAAATCATACGTTGGACTGAAGAGGTTTTTATTATTTTTCATGATCATGATTTGCGGAGTGTCTTTAAGACAGATGTCTTTAAGCTTTTTATCAGTGCCCCTGGAAAAAACAGCTCTATCCTGGTTTATATCCTTGGCACCACCAAGTTATTTATTTATTCTTTTCACATAATTTTATATTGTATTTAGAACATAAAATAAAATGCAAAATAATATTGTAGTTTACGAAGACTTTTAAAGAGAAACTAAAATTAAAATGACTTTTATTACAAATAGATATACAAAGAGAAAGCCCCATTGGGAATTGCTAACCAAAGTATACTTTTAGACTTTTCAAAGAAGTATGTATTTACAGATTTTGACTTTGCAATATCTTGCCATGAAGAGACAGCCTCAAGAGCTGTACCATTTTTGTACTGCACCATAACCAGTGTATCTATAAAATAATACAATTGATTTCAAATACAAAAAGACGTACAGATATTGGAAGATCCACTTGAGCAACAAACTCTTTATACTGCTTGTAGCATTTATGATAAATTAATAATTACACAATTACAAGAAATTGTAGGAGATCAATTCTACGACAGTATTATACAATAATATCTACTGGAGACATACAATGATGTTTACAAAAAATATTTCAACAGTAATATTACTTGGAGATATACAATAATATTTACATGTGAAATATACAAAGCTATTTTAACACAGAATTATAAGATCTATTGTTCTGCAGAATTACAATGTTTTCACGAAATGTGTATGTTGTACGTTGTTTTAAAACGACAAAAATGTTTACTTGAAGGGTATTCTTGAACAGAATGATAAAATCTATTCTGTGACAGAATTATATCACAACATTCACCCAATGTCAAGATTGTGTATGATTAAGTAATTAAGATAATTCGTGCATCATTTTATTTCATAAGTTCAGATAATACGACAGATAACATTGTTTCATAGTAAGATGGATAGAATAACGTACCTGGTGGATTGATGACAATCTGGTAAACTATTTCATTGTAATTGTTTGATATCACCATGCTTTCTAATTCTAATCTTTTCATTCCTAAAGTTAAGGTTACCATTAATAGCTCGTTCATTAAGTGTAAGTACACATACCTGTTTGATATGTTAACATGTTTGATATCTATATGACAATAATCAAACGCTTAAGTCTAAGGGATATACTATTATTGCATATTGCAATTCGCAACAAGCCTATATAGAAATCACCACTGCTCCCACACAACTTGTATAATGAGTGAATCTTTCTCTCAAAATCTATTTTGTTTGATTTTTTGTTGTCACAAAACGGATGGATAAAAGATAACACTGAAGGGATATTTCCTCTGGTTAAAATACACAGATATACAAGTCGAAAAGTTAAGACTCTTTTATACTTCCAAGCAGTTTTATCACCTCTAATGCTAATATGAAGGAACTGTTCAAATCTATAAATTGATTACTATATATCAGAAAAATTCATACCATTAAAAGATGAAGCATTTTGAATTTTGTAAGAATTATTCTGCCAATCATTACCATAGGCTTCATTGTTTATATCTGGCCACACCCATAAATGTAACACCTGAAGAAACATTGGAAATGTAAAATAATTCAGTACATTGGTCATATCTTTAGGGCTAGTAAATGCCGTCCTATATACATTATCGTTCAGCAAAGGTGATCAAAAATAGCAGAATCATTACACTTCTGGCAAAAATTATGCTCTAGTAATCTTGCCCTTTCTAGTGGATAGAGCGGAAAGTGAGTCCCATCTGGTCTTAAAACATAATTTGACGATAAATGAAGAGTTCCACTTTCAACAGATATCTTATTAAAGACATGACAAAGCAGTAGTCATGTTAAACTGAATTCTATACTCAGGAGAGTTTGGTTCATGTTGCATTTTACTCTAAACAATGTTTCTTCGATTGCGATTGCACTTTCAAGCTGTTTATCTCGGCATCAAATACACAATACCTACCGTAGATTTCTCCATACTCGTTACATTTGGATGATTAGATGTATGTAATGTTTGCACAGAAGGGTCTAACAATGGTAAGATGGAGCCTGCTTGTATGAATAATGGTGTCGTATCTAATGGTGCTGCCACGTTCAACAATCTACAACATATTTTCATATAACAATCTTAATATCTTTTTCGTGCTAGACGCAGTCCCTACAAAAAACATCTTAAAATATCAAGTGTGTTTTGACATATAAAATAAAATAATGATAAAATATTTTCACTGTTACAATAGTGCTCAATATACCGTTTATAGAGCGATATAGAATATTAAAACAGAACCTGAAAAACATGTTGTTGATACTCAGATCTTCAGACAATTGACCTGTATAATTCAGTCTCTGTCCCTACTAAAAATGGAACCTATTCTCATGTTGAAATACAAGGTTTTGGCGCAATAAGACTTTATTATAAAATGCTAAATCATCGGATACCCCTCACACCTAAAAGATATACAAACTAAGGAAAATGAGCGAGGGATAGTCCGAACATTGTCCAGCAAGTCTTACAAACACAAAGACAATAACAAATAAGTATGATAAGATTAAAAAAAAAGGTGTGGGTGGGTGGGCAAAAATTATTGGATACTGCGCAGATATCCTTGCAACGTATCAGCCAGCAATAGCGAGATAAATTTAAGATGGTTTGGGCGAGTTGAAGAGAATTATATAATAACAAAATTGTTGTATTATTACAACGCATAAACCTGAGGTTCGCCCAAACTAACAAGTCCAGCAAATGCGGCAGATTATTGGAAGAAGAGTATAGGCTAGCCAATCACAAACCGACAACTAAAAGGGCGGGTAAGGTTCGTTTCATTAAATCTAAATTATAACTAATTTAAAACCTACATTTCGAGAAGTGTTGGGGGCATAATGATAGAAAGGTTTTCGGTCAGACACAGGTTACATCGTTTGTTTTTTGTGTATGCTTTAGCTGTGCTATCAATGGACCAGGATATTTTGTAAGATTTTAATCAGATTCTCAATATAAACCTGTCATCTCTTTGAAGTATGCTTTCTTTCAAAAATATGATAAGGAAAAAGAATTTAATGCTTAATTTCAATTATTTTCATCTTATTGACATACTTAAAGAAATCATACCTTCCTCCGGGAATAATAGTATTCTGTGATATTCGAAATCTTCCTTCATCTTCATCATACTGTAATACATCAAATACAAGAAAAACACATTACTCTTGCGATCTCATGTTGTTGAATGCGTATTAGTGACTTATTATTAACTTTATATGACTCTCTGAATGGATATTTAGAACAACTGATACGTTTAGACTTGAAATATAACGTTAATATACAAAAATCAACTATTTTTTGTTTTTTTGGATGTAAATTTTGAAGATTAAACTGATTTGACGAACCCAGTTCCTCGTATAATATGTATGGTTTATCCTTGGATTAAGTTCATTTTCCCATGTTAGAAGAACTTGGTGATAATATACTTGGAACTGAATGTATCACTTAAACAGTTCCTAAATTATGGAAGTGTTACTAGTGCCATTGAAGACTCCGTTAAGATCATCAGCAATCATTTTCATTGTTCAAAGCATAGGAACAAACTATAACGATATATTTGCCATTGAAGTGAGAATATTGTGACAAACCTTATTTGGCCACGCTTAATGGGACTTGGACATGCTTAATGCATATTAATGAGAGTGTGTGCGAATGAATAGAATATTGAGTGAATGGGTAGGAGGGTTCGGTTAGTGATGGCGGAATAAAAATGTAAACAAAAATATGTCTTCTTCTTTTCCATCAATACGAGAAAAATATCCACAAATATAACCAATTTTTCTCACATAAAATTCTTCCAAACAGAGTATATTAAAATCTCATCTACCGTTAGTTTGGAACTAATGTCAATCCAGTCTCGTCCTTTGGGTAAATAAACATTCCATGTTGTCACACCAGGTTTATAGATAGGTGCTACTAATAAATCTTCTCCAAACATAAACTATAACAATAATTATATACTACATTTCAAAACCATATTTTTCTATGGTATTCCCATGTCAATTTTCTTTAGTGAGGGTATACTCAATAGATAAAGATATCTTATAAACATCCGGAGTCTTAGTTTTGAAGTAAGTTAAATAAAGATGAGCTGTATTCACATATTTAATTGACAGAAAGTCAAGATATTAAAGATACAGAGGAAAGAGTATCGTTGATGCACCCTGTGTAAGGAAAACTATTAAAATAAAATACCTTCATACCTGGTGTTGATACTTTAAAGCTTCTTCGTCATCAAAATCTAAAAGATGATGTCTCATTATGGGTAATCCTTCCTGAAAGAAACGAACCTGGTTCAGCATATAGTGGAATAAATCAGTCTAATTGTTTTCAAATTCTTGGTTAGTATTCACACAAACCTTTCCTTGAAAAATTTGTCTTTCTGAGGAATCTGTCCGTTTATTATATGTTCATCTCTATCGATCTAGACTGACCGGAATATGGAATACTAATTTCCTTGAATAGTTGACAGGATAATATTACTTGATATACTCAAGTTAACTTACTTACATAGTGCCCAATATGAGCTTGTGTATAGATGTAAGGGAAAAGCTGGGTTCTCAATTTAGCAAACTTTCTCCATATTTTGGTACCATTTTTTGTACCAAATATATGCGTTTTTCTGGAGATTCCCTTTCCACCACCTAAATTAACAAACAAAGACTTTGAATATATTAAAATATTTTTCTTCATGAAGTTTCTACAAAAATGAATGAAAATAACGTCCAAAAACTCCAATTACTCTTTTGGGGCACCCACCTTGTTCATGCATATAGCCACTAAAACAGCCTAACTGAGACCATCTGACCCAGAGTTCTTCATCAGCAGATGGACCGGTATACCATTCAAAACCACCTATAATAAATTAGTACCAGTAGGATTTCTAAGAAAATTGAAATATTTTCGGTCATTTCAATGTAGCATTAGGCACTATTTAATACATGCCAATACTAGATTTTTCGTTCGTACCACAAATTCCTTGAATATTTTTTCAGCTGTGTTGAAAGCATGTTTTAAAGAAGAAGCATTTGTATATCTACAATGATTTAACTGTTTTGGGTTACTGAAGACTTGGGATTATGATTAGAATGGAAGTCGACAAGTGTGTTGGCAATGTAAATATTAATATCGGGATATATAGAAATTTCAAGTTTTGATATTTACCTATATCTGATCCTGAGAATGGCATGCCTGATATTCCTATTGATAACATTGCTACAATCTGAGCTGGTAATCCACTAGCGTCTGTCCTGTAAATGCATTTCATCATCGAGGAAGTAGCAAAGTCATTAATTGTATATGTCATGAATATGTAATATACCTGGATTACTCCAGATTATATGACGAATTTTGTATCTTTTCTTTCATATCCATATTTGTATATACCAATATGAAAATCATAATGATTGCAAAATGAATTCACATGTTTTTCTTGTTTCGACAACGCATAAAAAGCATAAATGATCTAGTGCTTCAATACTAATTTTTTGGCATCTTAAGGAACTATTACAAAGACGTACCAATCGGAAGATGGGTCTCCGGTCCAATGTGCCCATGTGTATTTCTGGGAACCAAGATATCCAGATCTACAAAACATTTAGAAAATGAGGGTAACCTTGATGTTAATTGTGTTATTTCATTAACTTTTATGTTCTCTGAACATAGGAATTTCTATATCTTTTCAAATGGCATGGAACCATTTAGCGCGTATTTGGAAGGGCCCATAGAGTGAAAAGATTGAAGGAGTGTTTATAAATTTCCATAATATTGGCCACTTTGAAATAATACATGATTTTCACGATGAATGATGGTGGTGATAATAGTCCTGATGTCCACAAAGGTCGTGATGATATGTAAAAGTGATGATGACAGCATCACAAGGATAGTAGTGAATATGATGACTGTAGTAGTAATGATGAAGGTGAGAGTGTTGATGTCAGAAGATATGGTGGTAACAAGACGTTGGTGATGGTGAGAATTTAGAAAGGATAGTAATTTAATTACCTGACATAAAATAAATAATCGGGTGCATAGTTTGTCTCTTGTGTTTGATTTTGGGTCAGAAAGTCAAAACATGCTTTCTGGTATAGCAAAGGATACTCATTGTGAGATCTCAACCCTGAAAAATTGATAAGGTTTAAAAAGTCGCTCCAAGTGAATAATTACCAAGAGTGCGAGTAGGTTACCAATGAGGTGCTAGTAAGAAATGTCACTATCCTAGTAATTTGAATCGAACCATCAAAGTACACTACACTAAAGGTAAATAATGTGCTGGTAATATTGTTTGCACCTCTTCCATGAAATACTGTATACACAATGGTAAAATTCAAACCTGAGCTATATATATCTTTGATTAAAACTAGACTAGAACACTCACCAGTTTGTCCACGACTATTGATAGAATCATAAGGAGTATATTCTCCATAATCATACATCCAGCCTTTATATTGAACATTTAATGCTGAGTGAAAATAATGACTATACCATTGAGTAGCATTATAATTTGTAAAATCTACTTGTGAGACGTGAAACAATCTGTATGATAAATAATGCTTTGATGCTTTAAGACAATAAGAGACATTTATACAAGGTTAAATAGATCAAGGCGGATTTACTAAGTGATAATGGTCAAGGACAACTTTTCCACGAGTTAATGTAAGGAGGATATTGATTTTCATGTGAAATATTCTAATTTACCAAATATCATAAACTTATTTCGATCTGTTCGTCCATGGATAATTTTGTAGGCCCAAGATGGGAATCCAGAATATGAAGGGTGAAAATCCCGTAATTAATTTTGCAGCATTTTATGGTATAGGATTCGGAAGCCCAATACAGAATACAGATGAAATAGATATAGCCGACAGCTAACTTTTAGCCCATTCCTCCAAATTTCTAAGATCAACTTATATCACTTTAATATTTTACATCATATCATTTTCATAGTATAGTCTCACAGTTAAATTCTGACTGATATTGAGAGGGCTTCTAGATATATTTGAACCATGTTTACATTCTCAAGAACTAGACTGACATAATTGTTTTAAATGTGGGTCTAAAAAGATAGCTGGCCAGTCAAGGTAATATACGCCCACTGGCAGCTTTGATTTTTAATAAAAATATTAGGCAGTACAGTAACATTCACCAGTATGAAATATTCAAGCTTCAGTCATACACTTCTTTTGAACTCTTTAGGGCGATACTGAATAATATTGAATATGAGTTACTGACCATGTTCTTGAAAATGTGTTCAATTTTTAGCTCGTGAAAACTCTAGAAGGCAAATAATCAATCTTCAGCTCGGTACTGAATAATAAAACCAAGTTTTGTCAAAATACGGCAAGAATCATGCCTTTTAGTGTTTAAGAGCTAAAATTTGGAAGCGTTTTCAGGAACGAGGTCATGAAACTCATATTATTCATCCGTGGGTGATAATAAACAATTTCACCAAGTTTCGTCCAAATCTGCTTTTAATTGAGCCTTCTAGAATGTTTTTTTCAAGCTAGAAATTGAACGCGTTTTCAAGAACAAGGGCAATATCTCATAACAAATATTATTCGATTTTTCTGTTTTCAAGAACAAGGGCAATAACTTATACTAAATATTTTTCGATTCTTCTGATTTTCACTAGGGTTCATCCTTGGGTGAATACGAACACTCAAAACAAGTTTTGTCAAAATTCGTCAAGAATTGTGTCTTGTAGAGGGTTTACGAGCAATTGTGGACGACTGACAAGACGGACGGGCGGACATGGGTGACGGCAATATACGATGCATAAAAATGGTTCAATACTTGAAAAGATATCTTACTTAGCAGCTATATAATCATATTGATACGATTGGCCATGTTTATTGAGAGTAAAATATTTCATCTTGTCACCATAATTATAAGTACCATTAAATGTCGTTGTTACGAGAGGATTATAATACGCTGTAGACTAGAAATATAGGAGATTATCAAGTAGGTTAATGTTTTTATCACGTGTCAAGTTCAGTACAAAAGAAAACAGCATTTTGATATCAAAATTGTTTAGTCAACTCGCTGAAAATGTGTCATTTATTTTGCAATTATCCAGGGGTGTGCACTAGGGGCTTAGTACGAACTACGTTTGTTTCTACTAACATCGCTAACACGGAGATACGATATTTTAACAGATTTTAAATTGGTCCTTTGCTTTTTTGATAAAGATACGTCGTACATAAAGACTTATCTTTCTTTCCCGAATTTACTATTGTTTTATTACTGGATGACCTTCCCTTCTAATTAATTATATTGGTTGATAATTAATAATTCACCATTCCATTCCGTCAAAATAAAATTAAATTGCTTTTATATATTTATTTATTTTCAAAATCCGTCAAGGTTTTTTACCTTGTGGAGTGTTTAAGAGCTGAAAATTACGAGAAAATATGAATATGACCAACAGGAAATGGGTGACTACATTATACGCTTAACATTTCAAGTAAGTGTATAGAAACTTACTTTGCAATTATCCAGGGGTGTGCACTATGGGCTTAGTACGAACTACGTTTGTTTCAGGCAGCCTCTCCGACTTATATCACTTACATGGAGATACGATATTTTAACAGATTTTAAAGTTGGTCCTTTGCTATTTTGATAAAGATACGTCGTACATAACATGACATATTATACTTACAGGTAATCCCATATACAACAGTTGTTGGTTGTTAGCTAATTCTAGAGGAAATTTACTTTTATCTTGACCAGCAGGAAAGAAATGAACTGTATCAATGACCACAGATAGAGGTATATCTTCAACAAACAACATTTTTCTGCAAATACGATAGCCAAAATTATTGTCTCATCATGACGAGTTTGTGTTTAAATAAATTGAATTCAAAATTATGTAAATAATTGTAGTTCATGTTACGACATCCATTCTTTCGTTTCTTAATTTTTCCAAAAGTTATAAACCTTTACGACAAACGTCCTTCACGACAACCTACTTTACTTGGAAGCACGGATGGATGTCCACCGCTAGCTTATGCAGAAACAATTCTTTATAATTTTCATAACCACAATCCACCCCTACCACTCACCTTTTGTCAGTACTTTGAGGACTCTAATTAAGAGTTTTTAATAACTTTATTTTTGTATTCTTAAATTGTATTTTAATTGTATGTTTTCACATATTTTAACTCTTTTTGTCTATTGAGCAAGACAGCCAGCGATTGTCACGAAGTTAAGATTTAGAATAATGACATGTTTTTTGGTTCTTAATCTAAAGACTTTCTTTCCCCAATCTACTATTATTTTATTACTGAATGACCTTCCCTTCTAATTAATTTAACTTATCCCTGGTTGTAAATTCAGATCATCCAGTAACATTTTCATGATTAAAAATCAAGAACTAAAGATAGCTTGCCAGACAAAATAACATACTCCTTCTGGCAGCTTTGTTAAAATTATGACTTTTGTCATTCATGCATTTCTTCTGTTGCGATTTTCGATGAGGTTCTATATTGGTTGATAATTAATAATTTCACCGTTCCATTCCGTCGTTATATATTTATTTGTTTTCAAAATCCGTCACGGTTCTTTGCCTTGTGGAGTGTTTAAGAGCTGAAAATTACGAGAAAATATGAAGGGACCAACAGGAAATGGGTGCCTACATTATACGCTTAACATTTCAAGTAAGCGTATAGAAACTTACTTTGCTCTGTCTACTTCTGATTCACCAGATATTTCAGTATCAAGTTGATTCCAGGGTCCAAACTAAAATAGATTGATGAAATATTTGTCATCAAAGGCCTGTCATCAACAAAAGTCTTTCCATTTACTTATAATAATACAGAGATACTATACCTACCGCCCATTTAGGTGGAATTAAAGATCTACCATTTTTATCGGTCATTATTTTAACGGTTTCCTGCAAAATAGAATTATATAATATATTGCACATAACATTTGGATTTCTAAAATCAAGAAAACTATCAAGAACATCCAAGAATGAGCACTTAGTGTACACGGACCCAAGCTACCGCAAATATTACAACTTGCAATTTGATCTGAAAGCCTTATGTGGAAGGATGTCGGCTTGCTCAGTCTTGATGTCACAAAACATGATACTGTAGAAAGAAACATTGCGAGTAACCTACCCTGATAGTTCTTCCAGCAAATAATGTTGCATTGAAACTAGACGACTCTGTTACAATATGCATAACATTTTTTTTCGTTTTAGAGTCAAATTCTGATCTAGAAAAAAATAATGAATCGCATTTCATAATTTTCAATATAATAAATACTTGTAATATATTGTTTTTCATCAAAAACACAACATAAAACACCAATATTATTACTCTTTTTGTAAAAAATCTATCGGGGACAAATGGTTAAAATTTTAACGGAAAGACAAGGTTTGCATTTAGCACAGTAATGATAAAGGAAATATATACATACCTAAAGAAAGTATCTAATTGAAACCCATAGCGTCTTGACGATATGAATAAAGGCATCGGAACATACGTACTTGTTTTGCCACCTGGAAACTGGAAAGTAGATTCAATCATATCCCAGCAAACAAATACAATGTAAACTCAATTTCAAAACAAAAATCGTAAAATAATACCCACCCTGATATAAGGATCAAATTTTCCCCATCCAAAGCTACCATCTTCGGTCCAACATGCCAACTTCTCTCCACGTTGATTGACAGAATTAAATCTGAAATTCAAAACACATGTATGAAATAAACTTTTCATCATATATTATTATTACAACATGTTTCAGCATTATATCTTCGAAATTCATAAAAAAAATCTTTTCACGTGAACTCAGATATTCAAATGTCAAAAAACATTGATCTGTAAGATTTTAAAATTATGGCCTTACCTTTCACCAAATCCATAAAAACCTTCACTATCATCTTTTATTTTAAATCCCCAATTCAGTCGATTGCTAAAAAAAACAAAACAAATTTACACAACTATAATATCAATAAGTATACTTTGGGAGCCGTTTATGACCCAGGTAGACCATTTTCAGTAATGGCAGTTTAAAGTTTACAAACCTGTCCATTGGTGGATCAACTTGAAAGGAAAACGAGAGTTGTCTTGGTAAAACTGTGTAGATTCTCGCTATAATGCTTGTATTTCTGGGATCATCAGTACCAATTGTAACAGTAACATCATCCTGTCCGTATGTTACTGATGATACATTAGTAGCATAGTACTGATATTCCAATACTCCAATACGAAATAAGTATCCTTGGTATATATCTATATAATCACCTACCCATTTACCATAACCCTATAATAACAAAGCCAATTATTTCTACAAAACATTGAAATATGGTTAAAACCCAGAATGGTATGTACAGTTTGATGTGAATAAATACACTACTTGTAGACGTACAAGAAAGAAACGTGTCATTTTCTGATCTGGCTATTCGAGTCATACTTCTGACTGATCAGGGTATCATTAAGACTTTATATTTTTACATATAAAATCTTGACAAGCACAGTGTAGAATTTATACAGTAATTATCTAGTAGGAATGACCTAGCTCTGTCAAGAAATCACTTGTCATTAATCATTTTTCAAATAAATTGATAATATTATAGTCTCGTGCAAGAAAGTTAAATACTATTAACGACTGACCAATTTTTGGGATCTGAAACCCTCTTCGGTAATAATCAGTTCATCTGTATTGTTATCATATATCTTCATAGACCAAGGTATTTTATTAATCTCTACTCTTAATTCTCCACTATAGAATATTATAACATCATCATTATTACCAACTATATATATCTGTAAATAACAGAAACATTGTATTTTATTAATCTCTACTCTTAATTCTCCACTATAGAATATTATAACATCATCATTATTACCAACTATAAATATCTGTAAATAACAGAAACAATGTATTTTATTAATCTCTACTCTTAATTCTCCACTATAGAATATTATAACATCATCATTATTACCAACTATAAATATCTGTAAATAACAGAAACATTGTATTTTATTAATCTCTACTCTTAATTCTCCACTATAGAATATTATAACATCATCATTATTACCAACTATAAATATCTGTAAATAACAGAAACATTGTATTTCATTAATCTTTAAACTCTTAATTCTTCACTATAGAATATTATAACATCATCATTATTACCAGCTGTAAATATTTGTAAATAATAAAAACATGGTATACCATTAATCTCGATTAATCATTATTACCAACTATAAATATCTGTAAATAACAGAAACAATGTATTTTATTAATCTCTACTCTTAATTCTCCACTATAGAATATTATAACATCATCATTATTACCAACTATATATATCTATAAATGATAAAAACATTGTATTTTATTAATCTCTACTCTTAATTCTTCACTATAGAATATTATAACATCGTCATTATTACCAACTATAAATATCTGTAGATAACAGAAACATTGTATTTCATTAATCTTTAAACTCTTAATTCTTCACTATAGAATATTATAACATCATCATTATTACCAGCTGTAAATATTTGTAAATAATAAAAACATGGTATACCATTAATCTCGATACTCTTAATTCTCCACTATAGATATATCTGTAAATGATAAAAACATTGTATTTTATTAATCTCTAAACTCTTAATTCTTCACTATAGAATATTATAACATCGTCATTATTACCAACTATATATATCTGTAAATAATAAAAACATTGTATTTTATTAATCTCTATACTCTTAATACTTCACTATAGAATATTATAACATCATCATTATTACCAACTATAAATATCTGTAAATAATAAAAACATGGTATTTTAATTATCTCTATACTCTTAATACTTCACTATAGAATATTATAACATCATCATTAATACCAACTATAAATATCTGTAAATAACAGAAACATCGTATTTTTATTAATCTCTACTTTTAATTCCCTCTCTATAAATTATTATAACATCTTTAGAATTGCTCTGTTACACACTCTTGATTCTCTGAGAGTTTCCTTTTCCGCAAATATGATAAATTTCTCTCTGACTCTCATTTGGTAACTGGTCAACAATATTATCTTATTTATTATGTCTCTTGCCCTACAATCAATATCAAATTCCGATTTCGAAACTGCGTTCATTACGAAGAAAGTGTTTTGATGGACATTCAAGATAATGAAGTATAGTTTAATTTGAGATATACAATATCTACTCTTTTCCACTTCAAAACATTCGATTTCTTGTATTTGATTACTGTCCCTGTCCCTGTCACTGGAATTTCGAAGACGTTAAGATTTGATATGATATGTATGTAAAAAAAATACTTACTTTCTCACTTTTAGTTACTGGGAAATGGCAAAGTAAAACTAAAAACAAAACAGTAATTGATATAATCATCATTAAGGTGAAATATGAAACAAATTACTAGTAAATTTAATCGTGATAAGTAATCAGTTTTATCAAATGAACAATGACCTGTTTAATGGTTGATACGTCAAGAATAACCCGAAACACTGAACCTGAATGTGAAATGAATAAAAACATTTAGTTGTTAAGGTGTATTGAGACGAGTCTCAATGAAAGCACTGGCTAGGTCACAGAGCAATAGATAAGTCTATTAATTATGTGAAAATTAGTTAGTCATTAGTATGATTTTAGTTGAAAAGACACACACAAACATAACCTGCATGTTATATAATATATAGCCATGGTACCAATCCTGAAATAAGTATTCCCTGAAATCTAACTTAGAAATCGATTAATTTTTTGATAGAACATGATACATTTATATTAAGAATCTATACTCCTAGGATGAATGGACATTGTAAGCTACAACCAAACGTTTTGTGTATATATGGGGAAATTTGTTCTGAAGTTCCGAGTAATGGCGTTTGACTATTATGGAGGCTTTGGTAGCTGTAGAATCAAATGTCGTTATAAAGGGTATTATCTGGTTATCATGTTGAATGTTGAGTCCATTTGGCTTCACAGTCTGTAGTTGATCGATCCAATAACTTTCGCGTTGTAGACGTCTAAGCTTAGGTTTGATGCTAGGTGATGTAGAAACTGTTTCTATAGGCATGATGAGAAGGTCATCAATGGAATGATCGGGAAGGTTGAAGTGATTCGCAATTGGTCTATGCTTGCCATGCACTATATCATACCGATGGCCATTGAATCGCGTTTTGAGTCTCACCAACATATTTAGTGTTTTCCTGGAAGATCCTGTACAATATTTCTGCGAAAATGTGGAGCATATAGTCTATTATGTTAGCCTATACTTAGAAAGTTGCTCAATTTGACCTGTGTGTAAACGCAATAAGCCATAGCATATCAAACGGTAGTCTTGCAAGTCTGTAGAAGGGCATCAACCTTCAACTTCAGATGATGGATTTAATACCACTAACACTTTAGAAAGAATACTCAGAGTGTCCTACTAAAGTACTGACGAGGAGGGAAATTCCTTCAGTATCACCCGAAATGACTGAAGCATTGCAAAAGACCAATATTAACACGAGGAGGGTAGGGCATATTGTCAGTGCTTTAGACTTCAATTACACCCTGCAGCTACTGATCTAATGACAAGACAAGCTCTCTGGATCCATCACCAGACGCTATC